TGAGGGACAGGAAACAGAACTGAAATAGGAGAGGCGACACCAAAATAAAACAGGAAGTGGGATGGATGAACAGGTCTCACAGCAGGGTGTGACAGAACCCGGTTCTCCCCTGGTGTGAAACGGGGAGAACCCCGTGGACGAGCAGAGCAGTGTGTTGTGGGCAAACTCAACCCACACCAGTTGTTTTATTCAGGTGGCTGGACGGTTGGATGCAAGGATGTGCAGGCCCTTCTCCAACTCCTGGTTGACCTGTTCAGACTGCCCGTTGGGCTGCAGGTGATACCCGAGGACAGGCTCACGGTGGCTCCGAGCAGAGAGCAGAAGGCCTCCCAAAACCATGACATAAACTGCGGGCCCCGGTAAGACACAGCATCAGAGGGGAACCCATGGATCCTGAAGACCTGGGACAGCAGGATCTCAGCAGTTTCCTTAGCAGAAGGCAGGTTGGCTAGCGGAAGAAAACAGGCCATCTTTAAGAAGCGGACAACTACCGTGAGGACAATGGTGGTGCCCTCCGAAGCTGGGAGCCCAGTCACAAAGTCCAGAGATATGTGGGATCAGGGATGGTGCGGCATGGGCAGTGGACGGAGAAGTCCAGGGGGACGACTCTGGCCTGACGTGGGTTAAGCCTCTTTGCCCCTTGAGGTATTCAAGGTTTTTATGGTCAGTCCAGATGATGAATGGCTGCTGAGATCCCTTGAGCCAATGGCACGACCATTCCAAAGCCATCTTAATGTCCAACAGTTCCCGGTCCCCCAAGTCGTAGCTCCTCTCTGTGGGTGACAGTTTATGGGACAGTAAGGCACATGGGTGGATGCGGTTGTTAACAACTGACCGCTGAGACAAGACCACCCCAACACCAGAGGCTGAAGAATCCACCTCCACCACAAACTGAAGCGCAGGGTCAGGAATGGTGAGTATAGGAGCCGAGATAAGCGTTAGCTCGGAGAGTCCACACAAACCTGGATGACGGGGAAGTCAGGGTGTGCAAGGGGGCCGCGATAGTGCTGAAGCCTCCGATGGGCTTCCGATAGAAGTTGGCGAACCCCAGAAACCTCTCACATCTCTCCTGGAAGTCAGAACCGGCCAGTCTCTAACTGCCGTCACCTTGATGGGGTCCATCTGGATCCTGCCCTGCCCCATCATGAGACCAAGAACAGAAACAGAGCAAACAGGGCACTCGACTTCTCTGCCTTAACAATAAGGCCATGATGGAGAAGGCGCTGGTGAAACTGACAAACATGGTCAGTGTGTGACTGCAAATCAGGAGAGAAGACAAGAATATCATCCAAATAAACAAAAACAAGGGTATTGAGCATGTCTCTAAGCACATCATTTATCAGTGACTGAAAGACAGCGGGAGCATCAGTGAGGCCGAATGGCATAACCAAGTACTCGTAATGTCCACTAGGAGTGTTAAAAGGAGTCTTCCATTTGTCCCCCTTTCTTGTCCTCATTAAATTATAAGTGTCCAGTTTGGTGAACACCTTAGCACCCTACAAAAGGTCAAAAGCAGATGGCATTAAGGGGAGGGGGAACCTGTTCTTGATGGTAATCTTGCTGAGTCCATGGTAGTCAGTACACGGCCTAAGGGTCTTGTCCTTCTTGGCCACAAAGAACCCTGCCCCAGCGGGAGAGGAAGAGGGATGGATAAGACCGGGCCTTGGAGCAGAGTCCACATATTCCTTCATGACCCAGTGTTCTGGGGTCAAGAGGGAATAGAGGCGACTCTTGGGTGGTGAGGTCCCCGGTAGAAGGTTAATGGGACAGTCATACAGCCAAGGTGGAGGTAACGAGGCAGCCTTGGACTTACTGAAAACCTCCTTCAGGTCGTGATAGCAGGCAGGAACTGAAGACAAATTTGGGCAATCCTCAGCCGGAGTAGCAGCAATTGCAGAGCATGGCAAACTCGGTGACTCCTCCAGACAACAGCAAGACCAAGCACTGAGAGAGCCAGTCCTCCAGTCAATAGCTGGGCCATACTTGACAAGCCAAGGACATCCCAAAATCATTGGGTGCAGGGGAAAAGATGAAACGAGGAAGTCGATGGTCTCATTGTATTGGTCTGGCAAGGCGAGCAATACAGGAGCAGAGCGATGAGACATGGAGCATATTAGACGGCTATCCACAGCAGTAACCTGCAGGGGTCTCTCGAGAGGTAGCACCTGGAGCCTCAGTCGTTCTGCAAGAGACAAATCCATGAGGTTTGCATCGGAACCAGAGTCTATGAGGACAGTCTGTTTGACAGTTCACTCGGGGCTGGTCAAAAGAACCATGGGATTGGTCCTCCTGGTTGTAGCCAAAACCTGGGTACGACTCACCATGGGTCTTGGAGTAGAACATGGCCTCCAATTAAAGGGACAGTTTGGCAAAATGTGACCAGCCTGGCCGCAGTACAGGCATAATCCCACCCACCACCACTGCTCGTCCGCAGAGAGGCGGGTTCGGCCGAGCTCCATGCAGCTGGTTCAGGCGAAAAGGGAATCTCAATGACTGGTGCCTGTCCCAGTGCCCGTGACCGTCGGCTGGAAGAAGGAAGCTCATGGTCCCCCTGCCACCCTGCCACAGGGTGGTTAGATGGTGCTGTGGGTAACTCCCTCTCCCTCTACCTGTCGAGGAGCCTCTTGTCGATCTTAATGGCAAGGGCAATGAGAGCATCCAGGGTCGTGGGGAGGTCAAGAAGGGCCAGACAGTCTTTACTGTTGTCTGAGAGACCGTGCAAAAAGGCATCACAGAGGGCAGGTCGATTCCAGTCGCTACTTGCTGCCAGGGTATGGAACTTGATGGCGTAATCTCCGGCCTTGCTGCAAACTGTAGATGGCCTGAGCAGTCTCACGGCTGGGGCGGGTGTGGTGGAAGACCTGCTTGAAGCTGTGAATAAAAAGTTCCAAACAGTTGCATATGGGAGACTGGCGTCCCCACTTGCTCGTGGCCCAAGCCTCAGCTCTTCCTGTCAGGTGGGATATGATAAATGCCATGTTAGCTCTATCTGTGGGGTACGAGTTAGTCAAAAGTTCAAAGTGCAAGGAGCACTGGGTTAAAAAAGCTTGACAGTTCCTCAAATCCCCAGAGAACCCGTCTGGACAAGCCAGGTGGACCAGCAGAGAAGGCAGAGGATGAAGAGACATAGATGCCTGAACAGGAGCTGGTGGAGGCACTCATCAGTGGAGACGGCGGTAATGGATGCGTCCTCACTAGACGAGGGTGCAGCACCGGGCTGCAGACTCTGCACCCGCTCAACGATAAACGTCATGAAATGGTCCTTACGAGTCGACATCTGTGCGAAGCGTTGAGTGAGACCCTCCATCTGCTGCTCCTACTTGTGAAGGCACTGCCCCTGAGCTTTCAAAGAGGTCCGGACTGGATCCAAACCTGCTGAGTCCATTGTTGGCCAGTTCGTACTGTCAGGGCTGGTATGAAGGACTGGACTCAAATGCAGAGTTCGGCAAAACAAGGCTTTTATTTAGGCAAAAGCTTATTTAACTAAGGATCAAAAAAATGATTAAAACAACAGAGCTGAGTTAAAGGACCCAGAGACCAGTAGCTTAATGTCTGGCTGGAATGTGAGAATGACAACTAACAAACTTGCAACTGAAAGACAACAGAAGCTGGTTAAGTACACACAAGAACAGCTGGGAGAAATCAGAGTGACGAGGAACAGGAAACAGAACTGAAACAGGAGAGGTGACACCAAAATAAAACATCAAGTGGGATGGAGGAACAGGTCCCACAGCAGGGTGTGACACTGGTCCATTGGTTGGAAAGCTGATACAGATCCTTTTTCGTGAGCTGGCTCTTTAGGACAAATCCATAGATCAGCCGGTTCTGAGACGCTGGCTGGCACCAACAGCCACGACTCTTGAATCTCTCGTCTTTATTGTAACGCTCCGTTTAAATCTAGCAAGTCATCTTCACCACTCCTAGATATCTAACTGCTCTGAGCTGCAGCAATGTGATTGGCTCATCACATATTTGTTTTGTATTTGACGAGTTTGTGATAAAAACATGTATTTATAGATTAAAATGTTTGCATTAACGATAGTTAAGCTTGTGCCATGGTTGTTCTTTTCCTCTTTTCTTTCTTTTTAAAACATTTTTAATGTAGTTTAAATGTATTTGTTTATTTGTTTGTTTAGGATTATTTCAATAATAATAAAAAAAATAAATAAAAAAGAGTAAATTATAAAATACAACAAAAGGTAATTATTCTGCTAAATAAACCAAAACTTTATTTGTTCTTAATCCACCTGAAACAAATTACAAAATGTTCTGTTTCTTTTCCTAAAATCTACAAGCATACAGTATACCACATCACAGTGTCCGTTTATGGATTCTCACAACTTTTCCTCTGCTTGGTTTAAATATTACATTTCAGGTCTAACTACAAACAAGACGACAGAAAATAAACCAAGAAAACAACAGAAAAACGAGGAATCTCGCAGCTCCAGTGTTTTTGAAAGTGTTGCAGCTGAAAAAGCTTGGTGCACCTGCAGCTTCACCCGTCCTGGCATCTCATGCTGTTAATTACATAAGAGAAAACATTCCACCTAACTAATCACCAAGGAGCTCCAGTCAGTCATGATGACATGCCGAAAGCAAATGATTATCCTGACACGTCATTGGATTGAAAATAAAAGAGATTTTTTCACGACTTCTCCTGTGGACACTTATTGACTGTTGGGAGAAAACAGGGAGCAGAAGTGTTAAAGTGCATTTGAACAGCTGAACATTCATCAGCATCTTTTGCAACGGATGTCAATCACTGACTCCATGTTCTTGTTTAACTTCAGTCTAACAAACTAGTCGTCATGGTTGAGTGCCAAAGATAAGAAGAATGTTAAGCAAAGTGGGAAAAGGAGTTTACCTCATGTGTCCCTGTCAACCTTACATAACACAACACACACACACACACACACACACACACACACACACACACACACACACACACACACACACACACACACACATCATCCACATTAAGCAACCACAGAAACACATGGAGAGGATAGTTAAGGCTGCCCTCCTGATGCTGCTGCTCAGTTGGACTCACACAGTTCAACAAGTCCTAAGCAGCTGCGACTTGGCGCTTTCACCTCAGAGTTCACTCAAAGAGCTGCTAAGACTTTAAGAAGTTGCGTCAAATGATCCAAAGTTCAGATATCTCGGAATCTTAAAGCTGATTACGTCTCTACAAACGCTGCAAGAGCAGGACCTTTTTATTTCTAACCAGTTTTCTAAGTTTTTCCTGTTTAAAAAAACTTGTTTTGAACCATTTGTTGGGATTTGATCTCACTGGAACTTTTCACTTCATTTGTTTGCATTTTGGAAAGATTCCACTATCCGGTAAGTCCCGTTAGTTAATATTTTAAGGATTAAGATGATTGGTGGTCAGTTTTTATAAAACATCATTTTGTGTTGCCACAGATGCTGGAAAAAAACAAACATTCTCTGCATTTTTAAACCTTCTTGAAGAAAGAGCAGAGGCTCTAAAAGCACAAAGCCATGGCTTTTGCAGACCTCCTGGAGCAGGTTGGAAGCACAGGACGTTTTCAGGTCCTACATGTGACTCTCCTTTCTATTCCCATCCTGATGATGGCTAGTCACAACCTCCTGCAGAACTTTGTGGCCTTGGTGCCCCCTCACCACTGCAGTGCGCACACCAACTTGTCGTGGTTCCAGCTGAGTCCAGAGGAAACGTTGCAGATCTCCGTACCACTGGATCCAGCGGGGCGACCACAGAGATGCCAGCGATACGTGACTCCACAGTGGCACCTCCTGAATTACAATGGGAGCTCAGCTGAGGAGGGTTCGGATGGTGTCCTGCAGGAATGCATGGACGGCTGGTCCTATAACCTGACTGTGATGACCTCCACCATCATATCTGATGTAAGGATGCTTCCTCAGACACCAACTGGGAATGCTTATGCAGATAATTACATGTTGATGTGTTTACTCTCCCATAGTGGGATTTAGTGTGCGACCTGCGCTCTCTAAAGGAAATGGCACAAACAGTTTACATGGGCGGTGTGCTCGCGGGGGCTCTCATCTTTGGAAGCCTCTCAGACAGGTATTAGTTTTAAAGTTCATTACCCATGGAGCCTTTTATAAATCAGTAATGCTCCTTCATGTGTTTCATGACTCTTCTCCTTCAGATTTGGGCGCCGTAACCTCCTGCTCATTTCTTATCTCCTCATGGCCGTTTCAGGAACGTGCACGGCTTTCTCATCCACCTTCTCCCTCTTCTGTTTGTTCCGGTTTGGTTGTGGCATGGCTCTGTCTGGCCTGGTGCTCAACTCCTTTTCTCTCAGTAAGACAGTCATCCTAATAAAACTACGTTATAAGTGATTTTGTAAAGGAACAACCCAGCGGTGGTGTTTATGGAAGACACACACAGAGCTGTACTATTGAGAACATCCTAATGGCAGCACAAAAAAGAACTCTAACTGTTTCAGTCTCAGATTATTTAAAAATAAACAAAAAAGCAAAACCAAATTCATTTAGATTCTATTTATATTTTAATTTCTGGCAATGGTGCACTGATGAGTCCAAAATGTGTTATTTCTAATTTCTGATGTCTTGATTTGTAAGTTGTGGAGTGGATCCCGACGCGTGTGCGTACTGTCACCGGGACGATGACCGGTTACTGTTACACGGTGGGACAGCTGATCCTGGCAGCCGTTGCCTACTTCATCAGGGACTGGAGGTGGTTGACTCTGGCGGTGTCGCTGCCCTTCTACGCCTTTTTCCTCTTCTCATGGTGCGATACCACAGTTTCACCAAAAAGATACAACTAGACTTACTAGCTCGAATTCACAACAAACCTCCATAATGAAATACACAAATGTTAGACTTAAAACAGATAAGAATGGTTTTTGTTCTGAAGGTGGTTTCATGAATCTTCAAGATGGCTAGCCCTAAAGAACAAACCTGAAGAAGCTGTGGAGGTCCTGAAAAGCGTCGCCAGGTTCAACGGACGCCAAGAAGAAGGAGAAAAGATTGATGTCAAAGTAAAACAATGTTGTATTTTGGTAATTTTGAATGAACCTTGCTTTAAAACATGCTCTCTTTTTGCACAGATGTTACAGGAGTCCATGAAAAAAGAGATGTCCAACGTCCAAGGCTCATACTCCGTCCTGGATCTGTTCCGCACTCCCAAAATGCGGATCATGACCATCTGCCTCAGTGTTGTCTGGTACATGTCCCGTTTGTCCTGTAGAACACATAAACGGATTGCCTGGATGTGATCTGTCACAAAGCATCGTCTGTGTTTAGGCTGTCAACCAGCTTCGCGTACTACGGCCTTGCTATGGATCTTCAAAAGTTTGGTGTGGACATCTACCTGATCCAGGTGATCTTTGGAGCGGTCGACATCCCCGCTAAAGTCGTCATCACCGTGTGCATGAGTTATGTTGGGCGTCGTCCATCCCAGAGCGGAGCCCTCGTTATCGCAGGGATCACCATTCTTATCAACATACTGGTTCCTTACGGTACTTCACAGACCCGAGGGGCTCAGGGGCGTGAGAAGGTTCTGCAGAAACGTGTCACTAATCTGATGGATGTTCCACTTCTGTGCAGATAAGCAGACCATAAGGACCTGCCTGGCTGTGGTGGGTAAAGGTTGTCTTGCTGCATCCTTTAACTGCTGTTACCTTTACTCAGGAGAGCTGTACCCAACCATCCTCCGGTGAGTTTGTAGAGAACAGAACACAAACCTAGCAGTGGGAAATTAAACGTGGTCCAATAGTTTTTTAGTTTACAGCTTTAAGGAATTTTTGTGGAAACGTCACAAACTTTAATCATTAAGCTGTTGTTGTTTTCATTTAAAAATGTTTTAATTAAAAATAAATAAATAAACAGAGATTAATGAAACCTACGGTTTCCTAAGTTAGGGCCAAGACTCCACTGTTGGACACAAAACACTCTTCCTTTAAGCTGATGTTGAAGCTACAAATAAATGAAAGGAGAATAAGATGTTACTTCAGTTAAGGATTAGGGCTGTATGACTTTGCTGCTCCAACAAACTTAACTTAAATACTACAATATTCAATTTCACGTGGCAGTCACTCACACGGGACTGTGTTCTGGCTAGCCAGCTGTAGCGTTTCTGATTTTATCTGAGTTTCTGACTGATCACATTTTTGCCAGGATAATGGTGTAATGAACGAAGGACAGGGATGAGAAGGTTTTTCACACAGAGCTCAGGTATGAGATAAGGATGTGATTAGATACGAGATGGGACCGACCATATGCAGATGTTGGCTAACAGCTGCATGGGCAGAAATCAGCGTGAAAACTCCAAAATTGTCCCTTAAAATGTTTCTGACAAGTGGAGAGTGCTGGGATTAGATCTTTCACTGAGAGTCTGTCTGATGTTGTTTCTCTGGACAGGCATGGCTGGGTTTCCCCCATTCCTCCCTTTCTGGGGTGAGGGTTGTGATGGGGGGTTTGGTGCTCTGATGAGGGGGGTTGTCTAAGGACAGGTCAGAGGTTAAATGAGCAAATCAAATGTTACACAGTGACGGCTCGTGTTCAATCATTCACCATTACTGCACACAGAACCGTGTTTGAGCTATGGGAACACGACCTGAAACAGAACCCTTCCTGTGCTTGTTAAAAGATGTTTTCTGTAAGTAAAAATAGCCTCGATCTAAAACTGACGCAAAACTTTTGCAAAACAAAATGTCTGGTGGACTTCTGCTCACATGACATCAAATTAGTCTTACACAAAGACCCACAAACTCATTCATGTTTTGGGATTTGTCAAAAAAATAAAATCAAGACTTCTGAAAAAAAAATACACTACTCCACGTAGAGGCTTACGATTTGGGCTGTCGTCTATATCTTCTGATCACTGATTTGACGAAAACTTCCTTTACAGAATAAAATTCAGTCCAGTCCACTTCTAAAACACCGATTCCCAACACAGGTCGTCTCAGGGAGCATTTCAATTGAACAGTTGTGTTGGATAAATGTGTAACTCAGAGAGTGTCCCAATAAAATCCTTGAAAGTCATCAACAGCAGATTTTTGTTGTCACCATGTTGAGCTTCTCATGAAGGTCCTGGTGGCAAAAGCACTGAATCTTTCTTTTTCTTAAGTTTTAGTTTCAGTCATTTTAGTTTAATTTAAATTAATGTTACAAATAAGCCATAAATGTCAACAATGACTTTCCTCGAGCTCAAATTGTCCATTTCTTATTTTACAGGAGTTCTTATCATAAATGTCATCCACACATTTCAGCAGCACCTCTCCTCCTCAATTCCCTCTAAATCTCACTGAGGCCCCCTAGTGACAAGTCTGGCTACTCTGAACTGACAACAATACAAAAGGCTGTAGCAACTGCTGTCACTTGATCAGGGCTGCCAACATTGAAAACAGTTGTGTGTGTGTGTGTGTGTGTGTGAGTGTGTGTGTGTGTGTGTGTGTGAGTGTGTGTGTGTGTGTGTGTGTGTGTGTGTGTGTGTGTGTGTGTGTGTGTGTGTGTGTGTGTGTGTGTGAGTGTGTGTGTGTGTGTGTGTGTGTGTGTGTGTGTGTGTGTGTGAGTGTGTGTGTGTGTGTGTGTGTGTGTGTGTGTGTGTGTGTGTGTGTGCGCGTGTGTGTGTGTGTGTGTGTGAGTGTGTGTGTGTGTGTGTGTGTGTGTGTGTGTGTATGTGTGTGTGTGTGTGTGTGTGTGTGTGCGCGTGTGGGTGTGTGTGTGTGTGTGTGTGTGTGTGTGTGTGTGTGTGTGTGTGTGTATGGGGCAAACTTACACAGTAGTCTTGCAGTGAAAAAATACAAAGCGATATTAGGGCAGATTTAATTTTCAGAGGCAGAACAGATGCTGTAATCACAGTTTGCTATGTAAAAAAAACCTAAATGTTATTTAATTGTAAGCAAAACATATCAAAGAAAATTATATAATGAGGAAGTAACATGTGCGTAAATTTTTACTGGTAAACATTTATGTTACATTATGTTTTGGGTTTTTGGGGGGGGACTGCACAGCGGTGCAGTGGTTAGAGCTGCTGCCCTGCAGCAAAAAGGTCCTAGGTTCAAATTCTGACCTGAGGTCTTTCTGCATGGAGTCTGCATGTTCTCCCTGTGATTGTATGAGTTTTCTCCGGGTGCTCTGACTTCCTCCCACAGTCCAAAAACATGACTGTTAGGTTCATTGGTCTCTCTAAATTGTCCTGTGAGTGTGTGTGTGTGTGTGTGTGTGTGTGTGTGTGTGTGTGTGTGTGTGTGTGTGTGTGTGTGTGTGTGTGTGTGTGTGTGTGTGTGTGTGTGTGTGTTTGGTTGTTTGTACTGTGTGTCTCTGTGTTGCCCTGCAATGGACTGGCAATCTGTCCAGGGTGTACCCCACCTGCATGCCCAGAGGCAGCCAGAGATAGGCACCAGCCCCCCACGACCCTGAGAGGGTAAGCGGGCAAAGACGATGGATGTTTTGTTTTAGTAAGCTTATAGCAAAGTGGTCAATTCGTACAGAAAAGGCATGTTGCTAATGTTACTTTCAGCTTTATTTAGAATAAGACAGATTTTAAAATGAGTTTCTTTTACCTTCAGCAGTTATTTTAAATGACCTGTATTTGAATGGCACCTTCCAGGGTTCCACAACCCCCCAAGGTGCTTCACTCATTCACACACACGTCCACAAATGTGAACATAGTTACTCAATTTTACTTGTCTTTAAATTTGCCCTTTTAAAGATATAATTACTATATATTGCATATTATTTAAATGATGAATTTATCTGATCAAAAAAGATTATCAAATGAAATCAGTGGTTACTCAGTTATTCAGAAGCTTTTTCCCAAATTATTTTTTATTTGTATTTGGTTCTTTGTTTTGTTTTATTTGTTTTTTGAATAGTTTACAAGTCCAAATACATGAATGCTTTTCCAGTTTAAAACAAAACATGGACCTTTTTTAAAGAAGAAAAATCTGTCTGCATAAGTGTGTGTGTGTGTGTGTGTGTGTGTGTGTGTGTGTGTGTGTGTGTGTGTGTGTGTGTGTGTGTGTGTGTTTATTAGATGTAATTGGTCTTTAAACTAATTAATAGTTTTACACCTGGCATGTTTCATTAGAAAATACAAACCTATGCTGAAAAAATCTGGATCTAAATACATATTTTTTGTATCATTATTAAGTTCATTGAATTTATTAAGAATATATTACAGTGGCTTTAGTTTCGCCCTGTGGCCGCTAGAGGGCGGATCTGATTTGATTTGTTTTACAGTGCTGTTAGCTAGCTGCTGATATCTTCTGCTGTAGCTTGGTGATTTAATCCTGTTGAACAAAAATCGTTGAAAAAGATCAATTGATTTGAAGTATTTAAGTAGTTTGTATTGGTGAAGACATTCTGGACTTCCTATTATCTACACTACCTATGTTATTAATTCAGATTTAAAATTCATAGTTATGTTTAAGTGGTATGGTTTATTTTTAAAGAATCTACAGGTGTGGCTTATGAATGCTGCAGTAATGGCTCAACTCCAGCAGAAGGCGGGAAAATCCCTTCTCTCAAAAGCCAGATTACAGTATAAAGGACCGAGTTCTCGTGTTTCCATCCAGTTGATGGGATTAGTTTTTTACTTAATTTATTTGAGTATTTATACTTTTATTGTGAAATCTAAATAAATCATTGATTTACCTGTTTAAAACAAAAATGTGTACAGTGTACCTTCTAAAAAAAAAAATTCTGTGTTTGTGTGACTGTCTCTGTCATAGGGAGCCCAAGTCACACCATCTACTTCCGGACCACGGGTCCCCAGAAGAACAAAAAATGAATGCAAGTCAATGGGGCTAAAAATGCTATTTTCTAATTCAGCTTGTTATGTGCCATGGATTTCACATATGATGTTGGTGAATTTTAAAGACATTTTTATACCAAGAACATGCTTATTTTCGAATGGGGTGAACGTTATTTTAGCTTTTGAATGAAAATAAGTCCAGGACTACAAATGCGCTTCACGAAAGCGACGTCATCGAATCAGGCACGGAGAAAACTGAGGAAAAAGGGCTGTAAGTTCTACAAACTTCAAATCCTTCCTTCAGGAGGAAAGAACCACGATAAATCTGGCCATGTGGTAAGTAGCAGCTATGCTACAGGAGAGGAGATTCTGTGGCGACGTCATGGTGCCGATGTCTGATCTGTAGTAATTCTAACAGCGAACTTTTACAGGATGATAAATCTCAAAGTATGTGACTGGCGAGGTCGAAACTCCCATTATTACTTTTCATTTAAATAGAAGTACAACATAGGTGCCTAAGACAAAGCAAATTAGAAAATAGCTTTTTTTTTTTTTAGCCCCATTGATTTGCATTAATTTTTTGTTGTTTTTTTCTGAGGGCCCATGAGCCGACTGGAAGGGAGGAGACTTGGGCTCCCTTGACCCATTGCACCTACAACACCTAATCACGTGGGTCCACCATACTGGACGGCAAAAGCCTGTAAACAGTGAGGGATACCAGGACTAAACAAAGGGGAAAGTAAAGCCTGAAATTGTTTTAGTGATCTTTAGCATTCCTTCAACAAGTTCAAGCCCAGTTCAGTTGTCAGAAGAAGCACACCTAGGCGGGGCTCATAGAGGTGTATGTTAGCTAGCTTACGAACGTTAGCTTAAGTTCTCTGTGCAGCTGTTCACCGATGTAAACAAGCAGCCAACTTTGCCAAATTCACCCCACTAGATTTAAAACGTTATGATATAAAAAGGATTTCACTTTACAAAAAAGCTGATAAAAAAAAGTCTGGATCCCTTCCAGTTTTTGGTGCTGGTGGTTTCACCAAGTTCAGCTGCTGCTCTCACGCCGGGATGAGAAGATCTCTGAACAGTGATGCTCGTACTAAATAAATAACATCATTTTAACACACGTAATCCTACATTAGAGTATTAATATTGTAATAATCATCTCGCATTTCACTACAGTGGACGGTACCGTGCGTCCTCCGTGGTGAAATATCCCCCCAGGATTATGAATACGTTGCATGAACGCATCACGTTTGTGGCTGTCTTCCTCACGAAATACATGAACGTTAATCTTACCCGATAAAAACACGTTCACTGCAAATATGAGGGCAGCTAGTCTGTGATTCACCGCTGCAGTTCATCTCCTCCTCAGTCTCCATCAAAGCACAAAGGGTCTGGGAACTCTCCTATTCAAATAACCCCACTCCCTGGGAATTCTAACCGAGCCAATCAGCGCTAAGTAGCGTACTTCACACACCATAATGCCGAGTTTGTCGAACATGGCGACTGAAGCGGAATTTGTTGCGGCTCTTTCCTCTGGTCTAAATGATTGGGACACGTCTTTAAAACCACAACAAGTAGAAGTGCTGAAAGCCTTTCTTCTAAAGAAAGATGTTTGTGCCGTCGCCAGACGTAATTTTTGACTACAGCTAAAAAAACTACAGTGTTGCGGACGTCACGCACAGCAACGCTCAGTTTCTCATAAACAACGAAGAAAGTGGCGGAGTTCGCTGCAGCTCGTTCCTTTGTTCTGAATGACGTGAATGTCTTTAGAACCACAAGTAGAAGCACTAAAAGATTTTCTTCTAAAAAAAAAGATATTTGCGCCGTTGACGCCATTATTTTACTACAGCTAAAAAACTACAGTGTTGTGCGGTACAGTCGGTGTTTTCGTCTTTTTTCTGATTGGTTATTTTTGAGCTGGCTAGTCCCGCCCCTCATGTGCCTCTCTGCCTGAGTTACCAGACTCTCCCTCTGTGCAGAATTAAAGAGAGGAGGGGTCTGGCAGGCCAGGCTAGGCAATCCCATCACGAGCTGAGGATGTTGCGTGACCAAATATGGTTAATTGAGGGCGTTCCTACATGTAAATAACTAATAACGGACATGAGCGCCTGGGTACCACAGGTGGAATTTACCATCAGACAGTTGTGGAGGAACATGTTTTATAAAACAGGATTTTGACCGTTCGTACGAACATTCTGAATTTCATTCATAGGAACGACTTTCGGAAATTTTCTAAATTTTCAGGAATCTACAGGTTTTGATTATAAATGCTGTAGGCACTGGTTGTCTCCAGCAGAGGGCGGAAATTCACAACTCTCAAAAGCTAGATACTAACTGTTCTCTATATGCTCCCTGTTGACCCAAATAAGACATACAGTGGTGTGAAAAACTATTTGCCCCCTTCCTGATTTCTTATTCTTTTGCATGTTTGTCAGACAAAATGTTTCTGATCATCAAGCACATTTAACCATTAGTCAAAGATAACACAAGTAAACACAAAACGCAGTTTTGAAATGATGGTTTTTATTATTTAGGGAGAGAACAAAATCCAAACGTACATTGCCCTGTGTGAAAAAGTAATCACCCCCTGAACCTAATAACTGGTTGGGCCTCCCTTAGCAGCAATAACTGCAATCAAGCATTTGCGATAACTTGCTACGAGTCATTTACAGCGCCCTGGACAAATTTTGGCCCACTCATTTTTGCAGAATTGTTGTAATTCAGCTTTATTTGAGGGTTTTCTAGAATGAACCGCCTTTTTAAGGTCATGCCATAGCATCTCAATAGGATTCTGGTCAGGACTTTGACTAGGCCACTCCAAAGTCTTCATTTTGTTGTTCTTCAGCCATTCAGAGGTGGATTTGCTGGTGCGTTTTGGGTCATTGTCCTGCTGCAGCACCCAAGATGGCTTCAGCTGTTGTTGATGAACAGATGGCCGGACATTCTCCTTCAGGATGTTTTGGTAGACAGTAGAATTCATGGTTCCATTTATCACAGCAAGCCTTCCAGTTCCTGAAGCAGCAAAACAACCCCAGACCATCACACTACCACCACCGTATTTTACTGTTGGTATGATGTTCTTTGTCTGAAATGCTGTGTTACTTCTACGCCAGATGTAATGGGACATTTGCCTTCCAAAAAGTTCAACTTTTGTCTCATCAGTCCACAAGGTATTATCCCAAAAGTCTAGGAAATCATTGAGATGGTTCTTAGCAAAATTGAGACGAGCCCTAATGCTCTTTTTGCTTAACAGTGGTTTGCGTCTTGGAAATCTGCTGTGCAGGCCATTTTTGCCCAGTCTCTTTCTTATGGTGGAGTCGTGAACACTGACCTTAACTGAGGCAAGTGAGGCCTGCAGTTCTTGTCCTGGGGTCTTATGTGACCTCTCGGATGAGTTATCTCTGCGCTCTTGGGGTAATTTTGGGCACTCCTGGGAAGGTTTACCACATTTCCATGTTGTTGCCATTTGTGGATAATGGCTCTCACTGTGGTTCGCTGGAGTCCCAAAGCTTTAGAAATGGCTTCATAACCTTTACCAGACTGATAGATCTCAATTACTTTTGTTCTCATTTGTTCTTGAATTTCTTTGGATCTTGGCATGATGTCTAGCTTTTAAGGTGCTTTTGTTCTACTTCTCTGTGTCAGACAGCTCATATTTAAGTGATTTCTTGATTGAAACAGGTGTGGCAGTAATCAGGCTTGGGGGTAGCTACAGAAACTGAACTCAGGTGTGAAGCACACAGTTGGGTTATTTTTTAACAAAGGGGGCAATTACTTTTTCACACAGGGCAATGTAGGTTTGGATTTTGTTCTCTCCCTAAATAATAAAAACCATCATTTCAAAACTGCATTTTGTGTTTACTCGTGTTATCTTTGACTAATGATTAAATGTGTTTGATGATCAGAAACATTTTGTGTGACAAACATGCAAAAGAATAAGAAATCAGGAAGGGGACAAATAGTTTTTCACACCACTGTATAAGCACCTTATGGACAGAGTATGTGTCCATCAATATAATCAAACATCAGATCAAAAGTAAATAAATTAAAAGTTTATTTATATAAAAAAGAAGCTTTTTAATTATGAATTTTTACAAGAAAATAAATATCTAATTACGTGACAGACTTTGTCAAAACACAATAATATTTTTCACTTAAACTGAAATACAAATTATGTGTGATTCGCATGCAAAGCAGATCAGAAAATTACTTTTATAGCCCTGTTCACTTACGTTATCATTATTATTATTATTATTATTATTATTATTATTATTATTATTATTGTTGTTGTTGTTGTTGTTGTTGTTATAATTATTATTTTGTTGTTGTTTTGGCATCTCAGCACAGTCATTTGCATCGATATGTTTACAGCAAGTAGTTTCTACTAACTATTGTAACTTTATTAGTGCAGTCCTCTATTCTCCATCTTAATTTTCTCCTTAATATTGATATTTACAAGAAGTCAAATAACATTAGGATATTTTTCCAGCTTCACTAGAATATGGAGAATTTTAAAGGTAAAAAGAGAGAAGCTAAGATTAATCTCTAAATGGTTTACTACTAGATTTTACTGCTCGCTTTTCTCCACTAGAGGGCGGAAAATCCCCCTTATCACTCATAAGAAGTCCATTTAAAACTGGACTAGCAGCGCTGTAGGTAATGTGGTGCGATGCAATGTGTAGCTTAGATAGATTTACTTTTTTCAGCGTGAGAAATTGGGGTTGAGGCAAGTGTGTGAGGACAGTCAAATGCATGTGTCACACTCATTGCCTGAGAGCAGGCAGCCCTGCTTGATCACACAGAGCTGCTTGTTGGATGTACAGGTGAAACCGGAATAATTAGAGGAACGTGCAAAAGTTCAGTAATGTCAGTAATTCAACCTAACAACAAATGAGATAGACTCCTTCCACACGAAGCCAGATATTTCAGCCTTCATTTGTTATAATTGTGATGATTCTGTAAAGACACACATTTCAAAATCTCAGAATATTGTGAAAAGGTTCAATATTCCAGGCTCAAAGTGTTACACTCTAATCAGCTAATGAACCCAGAACACCTGTAAAGGGTGCCTGAGCCTTTAGATGGTCTCTCAGTCTGGACTGGATTACTAGCGTAAATGGACTTCGATGTAAAATAACTGTAACTGCCCTGGAGTTGAACACATGTTTTCCTTGAATCTTCTGTTGTTTAACTGACACAAACCTCTGGTTGAACTGCTGGATGTGTTTTCCTGTCTCAGTCAGAACGGGATGGGCTGGGTGTCCATGATGGCCCGTGTTGGAGCCATGGTTGCCCCCATGGTGCTTCTCACCGGGGACCACGTACCTTGGCTGCCAGGTCTGATCTATGGGGGAGCTCCGATCCTCTCTGGCATAGCTGCAATATTCCTACCAGAAACACTCGGCATGCATCTCCCCGACACAGTGCAAGACGTGGAGGAGTGGTAAGATCAAGCAACAATCGCTTCACCACAAAAAGAACGCTTAGTTTGATTTGTTCAGACAGGTGTGAGAACATGCTGAGGACCTCTGATGAATCTCTGTTATTTTTATGAACACAGGGGTTCTGACCAAAGCTCCAAAATGTCTCCAAAGGAAGGGATGATCCTCCAGGACACTCAGCTGAATCTCCTCAAACAGGCTTCCTGAGGAGCTCCTGCAGAATCTGCTGAAGTGTTCAGGAAAATAAAGCGGGGCATTCGTTCCCCTCACCTGTATATTTGATTTCCACACAGTTTGTTTCCTCTCATCACAGTTAGAAAAGTGGAGCGACGATATTGTTTTTATGAAAGGTCAGAAAAATAAAGCAAAGACTGCAGAAGATCAGATATACGACGTGCTTGTTGGTGATGGGGCAGCCTTCAGACTTAAGGGTTAACTTTGCAGTAAATATGTTTTATAGTTCAAGTGTCTTTATAGAATCCTCTAGTTGGAGCCGTTATGAAGAACGATGTTTTTTATGTTTGCTGTGTTCTCTTTATGTGCAAATGTGTCTTTATGGAGAGCAAATGTTTTCATTAAAATGAAACATGTGAATGTTCAACTTCTGGTTTTCTGCTCATTTAAACTCAAAACAAGAACCCATGCACAGGGAGCTCCAATCTCTGGACTCCAGAATCAGAACCCATCTGCTTCTGATGTTCCCTGATCTGGTTCACTCCATGAGCAAATCTTCAGCCAGCCTCCTGCTTTTATTGACTTTATATGTTAAGTTTCTGTTGTGTTGCTTGTAAATGAGGTCAAAATGTCCTCCGACACTTAAAAATGAACTTTCAGGGTCATTCTGACTTTCTGTTTATGACACAAAGGACTAGATTAACTATTTACCTTCCACAGCGCGGAAAAGCAATGCAACTTTTGGGTTTTTACTTCTTTTTACTAGTGGACGTAAGAATATATGCTGCTATATAAATGTGATAATGTTTAAGATGCCTAACTTTTTGTGCAGACATCCATAAGTTTGAGAAATTGTGTTTGTTTTGTAGCTTTATTTACTCTATTCTTTTAAGTTTCGAGCATGCTTCCTTAAGATCAGCCAGCTCATTGGCAAGAACATGATCCAGGCAAAAAACAGCTACGCCCTGCCAGTAATCAGATATCCTGCAGGAATAATAAGCTGGCCATTGGAAGAAATACAGACCACAGATGTTAAGACAAGGACGCTCCTAACCATGCATGGAGGGTTCCATCCCAAGTCCAGCATCCTGAGACTGCACACATAAGGAAGGAGGCCGGGGACTAGAGTGTGAGAGCCACTGTCCAGGGTGAAACATCCAAGATCCACAAGTACATCAAGGACAAGACCCCAACAGATGACATGCTCAGTGAATGTCTCAGACAAATGGTGAACAGAGGACGAGATGTCTGAAATACCATTGTGGGAGGACAAACCCCTACACGGGATACCACCAACAGAAAACTGATGTGGCTGAAATCAAGAAATCCTTCCAATGGCTAGAAAGTGCTGAGGTCTAAAGCTTGGTTTATTCTTGACGCACTTACTTTCCGCTTGGTGATGCGGCTCGCAGATGGAACGCGCTTTACAACTTGCAGCGTTTATGGTTCATGCGGCTTGTCTCTGCGGTGAGCCAATATTCTCCCAAACTGAACGGGGCAGCATGGAGCTCTACGGCATGCATCCAACACTACACCATAGTAGAAGTAAAAATTACTGTTGTTTACAACATGGCATTCCAGCATTTTTTAACAGCATCCTCGTCTTTTCTGACAGTGCGAGCTATTTCTCTCCAAGAATTAACAACATGTTGATCACGGTGATCTCTGAGAGCTGGATCATGCAAATGTCTGTATTTACGAACCTCTGCCATACTAGTTCTTGCCAGTCCGCCATGTTTTTCTGCGTCCAACCGTCCGTCCGCATGGTTAGAAAATTTCCTTGGTGTGCGGTGCGGAGGCGCGGTGGAGGGGTGTAGTTGTCAAAATGATGCAATTTTGCCGCGTGGAGCTGTGCGGACCTCGCGGATGCGTCAAGCATAAACCAACCCTTACTCACACCATATGCCAGTGCGCTCGCTACGTTCAGCATCCATTGGTGTCTTCAAGTCATGCCGGAAGACTCACCTTTATGATTTGGCTTTTAGATTGTGATTTTCATTTTTTCTTTTCTTTTTTTTTTCCGTTTAGATCTAACTTTATTGGCTTTTATTTTGTCTGTTGTATCTGTTTGTTTATTTGACATTTTATGTTTCTGTTTTTATGTTGGGAGGCGCTTTGGTCAGCTCCAATGCTGTTTTTAAATGTGCCATATGGTATGGTATGGTATGGTATGGTATGGTATGGTATGGTATGGGTGTTTCTCAATGTCAAGGTGCCAGGCCTACCAAAGCCTTATAGGCCAGGAGCCTTGCCTACGAGGACACTGTCCTTCCTTGGTCAAAGAAAATATTTAAATGAAACAGGCTTACTTCATGTCACATCACGTGACACATATAGATGTATAACAAGCCTTTAACTTTTTCATTGTGTATATATTGGTTAAATTAAATATGTAAGCAAGTTACTACCTGCTACCCACCAAAGCAACCAACCAAGCAACCAACCAACCAGATTACTGCTTTGGATCTAAAAATATTTTAGCTATCAGTGCTATAGCTACAATCAGTTGACTCAGATTTAAACTGGAAATTTGCCACCAGAGTAGCTGCTGCTGGCTCCTGATCCACCATCCTTTTGAAAATACTGCACTGTATTCTGGGAAATTTTTGACTGAGAGAAGGCAACAAGAAACAAGACACCTCCCATGTATCCTTGTTCAGTTGGCTAAACTAAAGGAGGACAGATGCCTCGGTTGCACATGAAAATTGGAACACGCCTTGGCGGTTCCTGATGATGTATCTCCTAGGCTATCGGGGCAGGACCAAGACATAAAGGCAAGGCTCCTTGACATTGAGAAACACCCCTAGTCTGAAGGACAGCACAGAAGCACTCATCATGGCCACACAGGAACAGTCCCTGAACACCAGAGCAACAGAGGCCAAGATCTAAGGCCCAAGGTGTATGCAAAGAGACCCCTGAAACAGTCCACCACATAAATGCAGGCTGTAAGATGCTGGCAGGGAAAGCATACATGGAACGCCTCAACTGAGTAGCTGGCATAGTGTACATGAACATCTGTGCAAAGAATTTGACATCAACCATTCCAACATTTCAAAAATTGTTTCCAAGTGGAGGACATTCAAAACTACTGCCACCATGCTCGGGCCTGACCAAGCAAACTGACCACCAGAGCATACCGCAAGATGCTCATCACAAATTATTATCACAGGAAATACAGCAGGTTCTGGCTACTGTCGATGTTTAAGTGCATGACTGTACAAGTTTGACTTCCATGGGAGGTGTGCAAGAATGAAACCTTTGCTCTTTAAGAGAAACAGACTGAAGTTCGCCAGGGCAAACATGGACAAAGACCATAACTTCTGGAACAATGTTCTTTGGACAGATGAGTTTAGCATGAATTTATTTGGACACTAACATAAGGCATGTTTAATGTAAACCAAACACAGTCTTCCAAGAAAAGAACCTCATACCAATGTATAGCATGGAGGTGGCAGTGACTTGGTAAGGGGATACTTTGCAGGATGCAGCAGGACCTTGCTCACCAACATATAATTCATCATGAAACTATCTGTAAAATATAAAAATGAAGCAAAACTGGACACTGCAACATGACAATGACCCAAAGCATACCAGAAAATCCACCAAGGACTGGAAAAAATCAATTAGTAAATAAATTTTTTTTAACACACACACACACACACACACACACACATTCTGTCAATTAATGTGAAATGTTTATCGCAACAAATTCCACTAATCAACTCCTTGTTGTTTGGATACCTAAAAACTGCTAACCAATTAGCCTCGTAGACGATGACGCCCTGAGAGAAGTCTTTTGCGCTGTATTGTGTTCCAATCTGCCCTCAAGAGGAACCATTGTGTTGAGACTGCACACTTTGCATGAGGACCAGGTAGAGAGCTCAGCGGTCCAGCAAGTTTGTGCAAGTAAGGAACGTCCCTCTTACAGGAAACAACCGGTCTTCAGTGAACAACAATAACTCCAAAATGGATGAAATCCCACCATCTCCAACTCAACCTCTCTAAAACTGAACTACTTGTAATCCCAGCAAAACCATCCATACAGCACAATAACTCAATCCAAAATGACTTCCTATCTCTGGCTCCTTCAAAGGAAGTTTGAAATCTGGGTATTGTTATTGATGAACACCTGACCTTTAAAGATCATGTTGCCTCTGTTGCTCGTTCATGCTGCTTTGCGCTGTATAACATACGAAAGATCAGACCATACCTAACACAACATGCCACCCAGCTCCTGGTGCAATCTACTGTCATCTCCCACCTCGATTACTGCAATGCCCTTCTAACTGGTCTTCCAGCCTGTACTGTGAGACCTCTTCAAATGGTCCAGAACGCAGCGGCGCGTCTGGTCTTCAATCAGCCAAAAAGAGCACACGTCACCCCTCTGTTCATTGAGCTCCACTGGCTACCGCTAGCAGGACACATCAAATTCAAATTGCTAACACTAGCATACAAAGTCCGAGATGGTACGGCACCCATCTACCTGAATCCTCTTGCAATGGCTTACGTCTCGGCCCGGCCACTCCGGTCATCACAGGATCGTGAGCTAGCAGTGCCTACACCACGCTCAGGACAATCCAGACTCTTCTCATGCATCGTTCCACAAATGTGGAATGACCTTCCAAGCACTACCAGAACAGGGGCTTCCTTTTCAATTTTCAAGAAACTCCTGAAGACCCTGCTCTTCAGAGAGCATCTTCTTAACTAGCACCCTCCCTGCACCCTTCCCCCCTCTCTACTGTCCACTCCTTGTTCCCTACTTTTCATGACTGATGTCAATGTTGTTGTTGTTATTGTTGTTGTTAGCCTCAAGGGCAATATGCCGATTATCACTTGTAAGTCGCTTTGGACAAAAGTGTCTGCTAAATAAATAAACATAAACATAAACTCCTTGGGCGTCACAGCGCAATTTATTGATAAGGAGTGGATCATGTGGTTGTGTGCACTGAGTGAGTAAAACTGAAGAGCAGCACAGGAATGTGTGTGTAATTAATTACAGAGCAATATGCAAGTAGTTAATTTTTTGCAATCGAATGACAGCCCCTATACATATATTATATATACATTGTCATTATGTTTACTCTCAAATAATTAAATGTTGTTTAGAGCACAGATACATTTGATGTACACGTTTGAAATGAGAGAGTTCTATTTAAAATTAAACATTTAAAATGTGAAATTGACTTTTTACTTTGCATCTGTAATATGCAGTAAAATGCTTATAGATGCCACAAAATATTAGATATCTGAAATAAATACACAATTATTAGAAATCTGATTTTGATGTTTCTCTGTCACCATCTATTGGTGTCGTTGTGCTATTACATACACACAACAGAGGTGAGAGGAGGTGACTAAGTAAAGTTTCAATAATACACACACACACACACACACACACACACACACACACACACACACACACACACACACACACACACACACACACACACACACAAACACGCACAAACACACACACACACACACACACCTTCTTGTGCTTTAGTTGTAGGCTGGAGTAAAAAAAGATGATGCTTTCAAAAACTACACGTGTTAATTTTTTTTATCAGAGAACAAAAAGCAGTGAATAAACAACAGTTAAATCTAAATCAGATCAATATTTGGTTTGACTACCTCTAGCCTTCAAAACAGTTATATTATATATATATATATATATATATATATATATATATATATATATATATATATATATATATATATATATATGATCGCTGAGATGGACTAATGGCGTATATCTGCAGCAGGCGTGAATCTGTGGCCTCCAGGTCTGCAGCTGTGTACTATTATGTATTCAGAAAGGAGGAAGCAGGGGTTTGCTAATGGTAATATTTAATAGTATGTTGTGGCTGTCATTGCTCTGAAAGGTGTGGAATACATGACACAGGTCCTTTTATGTTCATAAAGGCAGTTTAAAATGCTCCTCAAACTTCCTTTTCAAAAGTCATCTTTTTTAAGGTTTCCTGAGGCAATTGTGCGTGTGTGTGTGTGTGTGTGTGTGTGTGTGTGTGTGTGTGTGTGTGTGTGTGTGTGTGCTTGCGTTTGCATGTGTGTGTGTGTACGTGTGTGTTTGCATGCTCCACAACCTTTTCCTTTGACCTTGATAAACCCCCACATGGCGTATAAAAGCAGGTTTTATTGCACCGTGAGATTTTATGCGTATGCTCTAGAGACGTGCTCGCTGCTTTCCAGAAGAGTTGGATCTCCAAGCCAAGATTGAGACTTTCGACAGAAATCACTACAACATAAAATGATATGAATAAAGATTTATTTTTTATATGAACAGGTGGATTCATTTTTCATTTTATTTTACAATCTACGACAATCTCGCAATTTTTTACTGTGTTTTTTTTCCTAGCATATTTCAGGAATGACATGGGGGAAAGATTCTTACTTTTTTATTGCTGGATGTTAAATGAAATACACTTCCACTGACTGGTAAATATTCGTCTGCTGCTTTTTTCTGTCTTTAGTTTTTTACATAACCATGCACCCATCTAACCTTGACCACAAGGACATGCAGAGGAAAGGTGTTCAAACATTTCAAGCGGGGGTGTGGGGTCGAGGGGGATCCTAAAGTTAAAAACAAAGAGACTGGCTGGACATGCCTGCAGCATGTCAGTTGGATGAGAGGACTGACAACGAGGGCAGAGGGAATCGCATTAAAACTAGAGGTGCTGCATCTTCTTAGCCTAGTGAACTAGACCAAATTCTTGCTTTGCAAAGTTTGGTCTAGGCACGCTCCATTGGAACCTCAGCAGCCCAGGACTCTGGCTGTCCAATCACAGCTCTCTAGAGGAGTTTCAAACACATAAAGAGCTGTGATTGGTCCATAACGGTGGGCCAATCATAGTGCTCTATCTGCTTAGTGAACAAATCACAGAGCTTTATCCGCTTTGTGGGCCAATCAGGGCACTCTATATGCCTGGTGGGTGGGATGATGCAACAGAGTGAAACAAGAGTACGTCACATTCATTGTCCAGTGGAATGCGGAGATCATTTGAAAGACAACGGTAGAACCCGCCCCACAACCGAGAGCCGTCAATGGAGCATGGCCAGACTAAATAATACATTTATTTAGTCTGGCTTGCCAGGCTAGCATCTTCTGCCTTTTTCAGACAAACAAAATGAAAAACCCAATGATGGAACATCTGTGAGCTGTGGCAGAGGTGTGACCAGGGACTATTCTTCAGTCATCAAACAGCAGTTAGAGTCAATCTCTTAATGACATTTTTGAGTCAATTCTCATTAGACAGTTCAGTGTTCATTTGGTTTCTCTTAAAGAAAATCGGTATATAAAACCAACTGTGACAGATCATCGTCTGTCTTCTCTCCCCTTAAAGCAGAAATCTGGAGGTTTTTGTCACCATCTAGAGGAAGAAAAATGCATCACATCTTTAAGCCCCTCTCCTTACTTCTGTGATAATGGCTGGAAGCAATGCCTCTCACTCATAAACTTGCACCTCTAAGGCTGAGAATGTACTTGCTTTTAATCATGTGTAAGTGTCTTTGTCATGGCTGACTCTGGTAGCTTGTGTTTGTTTGAAGCGGCCTCTGAAAATAACCTGACGCGTTAGCAACCTACAATATGTCAGAAACCAGCAGGGGGGTTGTGCATCATCGATTTGTCTCATTGGCAAAATGAGCGAGACATACTCGCCATTGCCATGCTGTGTCTGATTTAGAGGTCTGACATACCCTCCACCAAACCACTGCTGTTTTTTTATGAACTCAGAAATTACTTGCTGCTTACCCTAACACTATACGCGAATAATGAGGCTAATGCTGACCTTAACCCTACACGCTAATGCTGAGGCTAATGCTGAGGCTAATGCTGACCCTAACCCTATACGCTAATGCTGAGGCTAACGCTGAGACTAATACTGAGGCCATTGCTGAGGCTAACGCCGAGGCTATTGCTAAGGCTAACGTTGAGGCTAATGCCAAGGCCAATGCTGACTCTAACCCTATACACTAATGCTGAGGCTAACGCTGAGGCTAATGCTGACCCTAACCCTATACATTAATGCTGAGGCTAATGCTAAGGCTAACACCGCGGCTAATGCTGAGGCTAATGCTAAGGCTAACACCGAGGCTAATGCTGAGTCTAACGCCGAGGCTAATGCTGAGGCTAGTGCTGAGAATTCAAATCACATGAGAATCAATGGGACAGGCTTAGCAAAAAAAATATATTGCCCACATCATATCAGAGTACAGGGTCAGACAATCACTTTTACGGGTTAAGAAATCCTCCATAATTCCTGAAGGGGGGAACCTTCAGATTGCTACTTTAAATGAAGTTGAAATAGATTGAAATAAGTCTGAAATATTTCGTCCTATGGAGGACGAAGGGCTGCTGTTTCTTCAATGGTTTATCATTGAAGTTATTATCCTTTAGAGACAAGGAGATGACCGTTTCTGTTGGAGGAGACAGGAACTGGATTTGTTGTCGTTTGAACAAACCAATAGGATAAGTTGTGGATGCGGTCCTTCTATGGACACACGGACAAGAATGGCTTCACAAATGGCTGCTTGATGGCTTAAAAAATAAGTCCGGACGAGATCCATTCTTATCATGTGATCTCTCTGTTTTTGCACTCTTAGCACACCACAGACACCTCTTAGAAAATGATGTAATAAAAGCAAAATAGAAAGTTTGCATATTTTTGCATTGTATGAACCTCCATAATTTTCACAGCTAGTCTATCTAGTTATCTTCTGCCACCTGGCTTTTCCCTTCTCTGCATTGTGGTGTCCAGGAAACAGCAGACCACATTTTACCTCCAGGTCCTCAGCTCTTCTGAGAACAAAAGTCTTAGGTACTCAAGGACGGAGATGAAGACAGGTGAAGGGGGACGTTTGTGGAACTCCTGAGACGCTGTGTGGCCTTCAGCATGGGCCACTAGAACACAATGGACATAAAAGGATAATGGGATGTTTGGATTTGAGTGAAAAAGGATGAAAACTTTAGTTTGGTCTCAGATGGTGCCCCCCCATGTGAGCTGAGTAGCTGAAGTCTCTACCTCACTGGGCTGCAACTAGTACACATACACATCTTTAAGGTTGGATACACACATAAGGGCTGCTTTTGTAAAACGTGTCTAAGTGGCAAACATATGTCAAACATTTGTGCAACGATTATGCAGTTTTGATTGTGTCATTCAGTCACAAGGTGCCCTAACATAATAACAGTTCATACCGACGTAATCAGCTGATTTAGTCACGTTTCCAGTGGTCCACCAATGGTTTGCACCTGGAGAATCTGATTCTCAGGCACAGATTTGCACAAGGAACCCCTCCCAACATTGTCTTGCACTTCTCACACTTCTCTTACTCTCAAAAAACAGACGCTTGCAACAACCCAGCGACTAATTTGAGAGTAAATCTGTTTTGGAAAGCAATTCAAGTCACTTTCAGCAACATGAACGCGAAGCCCCGTGGCAAGAAAGTCTCTTGAGAATGCCATTGATGACCAATAATCGCTGCCCAGTGAGATCCTAGCTTCTGTTTTGTTGACCCTGGAAAACCTGCTGGGATTTTTATTTTTGTTTTAAGGACAGAATTGGGGCAGCAGAGCTGTAAAAACACCGAGCAACAAGCTGCACACACACACGACCCAGCCTTACCTGTCCAGCTACACTGATCTCAGCTCCTCAGCAGAACCACGGGTTCGAAGTCAGCACAACATGAAATTCTTCCAACTATCACAAAGACATGCAGCAAAGTCACACACATGCGCACACATACACACGCGTGCGCGCGCGCACACACACACACACACACACACACACACACACACACACACACTACCAAACACAATAAGTCCCTCTGTTCTTTCTCATTCTTTGTCTTGGGAGTTAGAGGGCAAAGATAAATCATCAGCCTTGCAGGCAAATCATATTCATGTAAACACACACTTTATGTTGAAGTGGTTTATATTGCATGACATGGAAGTGGTTATGCTCCAGTGAGGATAGACTTCTCAAAAAATGCTTTTTGGAAGAAAAAGAAGGTAAAACAGGAAATCAGAAAGGACAACAAAACAAAACAAAACATAAATGTGTATAAAAAATGAGGCGTCCATATAAGAAAGGCTACAAAAACCTCCACTGGCCCTCTGGCATCGGCAAACAGCAAAAGGCACCACAATATTACTCTATTTTTTTAAACGTTGTGAAAAAACTGGCACATCTTTTTATGCTGTAAATCAAAATGTACATATAAATAGAGTTTTCCCTATAAAAAATTCTTTGCTGTTAACTAGTAGACAACTTTTGCTAAAATGAAAATAAATATTTCATTTGTTTAGAATATCTGTCAGTTATATAAAATAAAAATATTTCTTATAGATGCAGGTCTATACTATATTGATTTATCTTGGTTCATTATCACTCTTTAATGGGGTGTATCGTCCGGTTTGGAGCGTGGGTGTGTGAGTCTCGTATGCGTTTTTCCGTGCCCACTGTGCCACCCTGATGAGTGAGAAGTCCGACTGTCCACCGGCCTGTAGATGGTGGAGGGCTCGGTGTTCATGTTCTGCATACTGAGGAAGGGAGTGCTCTCACCGTCCTCCTCTGACTCACTATCTGTTAGGCAGCTTCGAGATCCAAAGTCCCGAGATGCCTCGTATCCACGTGGGGCCACATGGCCGTTCAGTCTGGATCTTCTCCAGCGTCGGCTACCAGTTTCACTGGGCCTGCTTGTCTTTGGTTGCTCCCGAAAGGAAAGGTACTCCTGGGTGGTCTCGTAGTCTTCTTCCTCAGCCAGCCGGTAGGGGCTGGAAGTTAGGCTGCCCCTGCTGTTGCTCAGATACGTACGACGCTGCTGCCGGTAGGGCTCCTGGCACTGGGCGTCATGCAGTGGCACCTGGTAGCGGCGCAGCAGAGGCTGGTCGTCCTCAGGAGGATATGGATTGTGGACAGCAGGGGGGAGTGACATGGCATGGCTGGCATTAGGGGATGTAATCTGGAAGGTAGGCACCTGGGGGGGCAATGAGTAATGGAAATCCACCGGGGAGAGGCGCGCTGGTGTTGTCAGGGCTGACACGTATCTGTTTCAAATACAAAGAGGAGGTTACGGGTAATTAAAGAGGAACAATGACTGAAGACACAAGACAGCACGAAAAACATCATGAGTGACTGCATTTAGTTGACTAAACAAATATCACACCTTAGAAGTCATAGGAAAGGACGTGTTTATCAAGTGGGAGTAGGAACCTTTCCATAGATACGGTAATCTTTGATGAGCAAAACAGGAAAAAAGGTTCAGCCAGTTGGAAAATTGTTTTCATGATGTTTGTGAGCTCAGAGGTTGTATTGATACTGATGTCATGTGGTCATGGTTGTGGAAGGAGTCCAGATGTGCGGCGACTCTTTGTCTAGCCGGACATTTTCCTCTCAAATTCTTCAAAGGCACAGTGTGTAATAGCTTTTCATTAATATTTATCATCAGCATCTATTCTAAACATTCCTATTAACTTGAAATGTTACATTTTCACACATATAAACTGTGTCGACTCTCCATAGTCATGCGCCATTTTGAAATACAGTAGCTGTTTAGGGACATAGAAGATGCGATGCTCTGCTTTTTTCCTTTGTTCTTTACTTTTGGCCATAAAATACAGCAAAACAGAAATGTTTTATTACTCAAAACGCATTCAGATAACATTTAGAAAAGAATAAAAAAAAATCAACAAATGGACCTGATCTCTTTTGGACAGCTGGAAGTCACTGATAACATATCACCCTTTTGATCCATTTGGGCTACCATAGCTGTAATACCACTTCTGAACTTCACGGTCCTAAAGAGTTGGATTTTATTATTTTTTTACACACCAAGCCTTAAAACAAATTCGAAGTTTTAGCAACAGAACAGCAAAACTCAAGCAACAAAAGTCAAACCCAGATTAAGATCCTAATAAAGAGATTACATAAAGCATTTAAAATTAGAATTTAGTCCTCATAACATTTAAACATTCTTTAGTTCATAAGCATGGTCAAAATTATCGTTTGGCTATTTGTCTCAGGAAATTTTTAATTGTACTGTGTTTGCTAATATTTTCTAATCCTTTTTAACCCTCTCAGGTTCAAAATAAGTTTGATAAAAGGATGAACAACTAAGTCCTTCAGGGGAACTTCTGTGTTAAAAAATGCTCATGAAATATGTATGTGGAGTAACCATGCAGGTAGGCTTTAACGATGCAAATCTGCAACGCCTGCCTCCAGAGGGTTAACTCAGCAGTTTGAATTATGATTGAAAGGGATTTTTAGACACCTTGATTTGGTCCTGAATAGGTAAAAACTACTTCAAATCAGTCAAATGAAGCTCTGAAAACATTTTAGGGTTAGGGTAAGGGCATTTAGACTCTAAGATATGTTTCTATACACCACACATAATAATATAATAATAGTAATAATAATAATAATAATTGTTGTTGTTATTATTATTATTATTATTATTATTATTATTATTATTATATTATTATTATTATTATTATTATTATACATCCAATAATGACACACATGGCTGAGAGGAGGTGTTTCTTATCTGAAGGTGATATTGTTTGATGACTCTTGTTTTTCTAACTTTTATTAAATTATTTTAATTTATCTTTCGTTCATTCCTGATTTCCTCTCACCAGCCACTCACCAAAACCTCATCAAATTCTCCTCATTTCAACTCATTTATTTATTCCACTAATATTGATGTAATGTAGTCATGGGTGTGGGTTCATTAAGTTTACAGTGGCTTAAACAAGGCTCAGCCAGGAATAACAATAACATGAGAACTGGCACTGTTTGTTTTCAGCTGCTTTAGGAGCCCCTTTAGCTAAATAACTTTACGTTTGTGTGGTCTTTTAAGTGTAAACCTGTTCCATATCTGGCTTTTCTCAGGTCTGTTCTGAATATGAAAGTTAGTAAAACTGATGGGTACATGATTCAGAAGTAATCAAGCCTTGGCTTTGTTTCCCTTTCACATTTTAAATGACTTGAATCCCACAACAATTATGTGCCATGGTCAAAAGAGCTGGAGCAATTAAACGGTAAATGGCCTGTATTTGATAAAGCACCTTCTAGAGTCCTAGAATCCCCAAGGCACTTTACAACACAACTGACCCGCACACAAACACACACTCATACCCTGGTGGTGATGAGCTACAATGTAGCCACAGCTGCCCTGGAGCGCACTGACAGAGGTGAGAGTACAGAGCACCGGCAGGATGTGACTGGACATCTGGCACAATGGGCATGCCCCAGTGGGCTGTTTACCCAAAGTGGGCATCGTATTTCCCCCTGCTTGGTGAACTAAGGTAAAGAAAAATTTGCACGAGCACCCCCCTAGTCTTGCACAAGGACACAACTACTACAACAAATCACTCAAACCTGCAACCCTCAGGTTGATACCAACATCTACAAATTCTCCAGGCGACTAGAAGCAATCTGATGAGATGGGTTTTGTTAAAACAACCAAACAAATAAATGTATCTGAATGGGGCTCCCGGAGGCACATCCCTAACAGGAATGATGTTTTATTGTTAAACTTTCTGTTATTTTTCATAAAGCTGTCCATAAAACAAGTAAATAACCACAAAGTCCAATGGCCAAAGCCTACTGGTTGTGCACCACACCAGGATAAAGACCGAAGACTACAGATCATCTGCTGCTGTGGCCCCCACACTCTGGAACTCTCTCTAGAAAGCTCCCAACCTGGATGGCTGGGAGCTTTCTACAGCTGAATGAAGAGAAGACTGAGATCCTCATCTGTGCCCCAGACAAGCTGGTTCCCAAAGTCAGACTCTCTTGGTCAGCTTGCTTCCCACACCAAACCCTCTGCCAGGAATCTTGGCGTGACCTTTGACCCAGCTCTCACCCTGGATTCTCATGTCAGTTCTCTTGTTCGCTCTTCCTTCTTCCATCTCAGGAACATTGCTAAGCTGAGTCCCATTCTGTCTCGCTCTGAACTTGAGACAGTTATGTTTATGTTTATGTATTTAGCAGACGCTCTTGTCCAAAGCGAGTTACAAGTGATAATCGGCATATTGCCCTTGAGGCTAACAACAACAATAACAACAACAACTTGACATCAGTCATGGAGAGTAGGGAACAAGGAGTGGACAGTAGAGAGGGGGGACGGGTGCAGGCAAGGTGCTAGTTAAGAAGATGCTCTCTGAAGAGCAGGGTCTTCAGGAGTTTCTTGAAAATTGAAAAGGAAGCCGCTGTTCTGGTAGTGCTTGGAAGGTCATTCCACATTTGTGGAACAATGCATGAGAGAAGTCTGGATTGTCCTGAGCGTGGTGTATCCACACCTTCATCTCCTCACGCTTAGACTACTGTAACTCTCTTTTCACGTGTCTGAGCAGAACCTCCCTGAACCGTCTACAGGTGGTTCAGAATGCCTGTGCTCGGCTTCTGACCAAGTCCTCCAAACACACCCACATCACCCCGCTTCTCCTCCAGCTTCACTGGCTGCCAGTCAACTTCAGGGTTCATTTAAAGATCCTGGTTCTGGTCTATAGGGCCTTACATGGACAAGCACCATCTTACATTGGTGATCTTCTCAGTCCCTACACCTCCAGCAGGTCCCTGAGGTCCAGTGACCAAAGCCTACTGGTTGTGCAGTGCATCAGGCTAAAGACCAAAGGTGACAGATCATTTGCTGCTGTGGCCCCCAAACTCTGGAACTCTCTCCCCCTGAGCCTGAGATCAGTGGACTCAGTGGTCTCTTTTAAAAAGCAGCTGAAAACTCACTTGTTCAAGCTGGTTTTGGTGTGACCTTCTTCACCCTCTCCTTGTTCTGCTCTCCCCACCTATTCCACCTTCCTCAGGATCCACTGATTTCCCTCTTTCCTATTCACTCTCTCTCTTTCTTAACATTTTTTTTATCACACTTGTTTATTTTTTGCTCATTTAAAGGGACTTTACAGACTTTTGAATTTTTATGCTCGCGATTGCCCCCTCAGGCCAAAAGCGTAACGGCAGCTTCAAAAGTAGGCTCGTGCACGAGGCGCGCATGCTGTACGTGCACACTCCTTCATGAAAATAACAGCTGAGATAGTCCCGTGTGTGCGTGCGTGTGCGTGCGTGTGCGTGTGTGTGTGTGTGTGTGTGTGTGTGTGTGTGTGTGCGTGTGCGTGTTCGTGTGTGTGTGTGTGTGTGTGGCCCAGAGGACAGGAGAACACGCAGCTAATTAAATAATTTGGTTCTGTAACTTTCTCTTCAGCACAGCCGACAAAGGTTTATGATGGGTCAGTCCTCCTGCATGCTCAGACCATTCCCTTCCCTTGCTTGAAAAATTGTTCCAAAATGAAAGTTGAACCCACATCTTTTTTATCTGTGAATTCAATGTCATTCAGTGAGTCTCAAATAAAAATTCGGGCATCTTAGTGTAAAAAAATATACCATTAATGTAAAAAAGAAACTCTAAATGAACTATGTTCACACCCAGAATCAAACCCAGGTCTTCTGCATGGGAGTCAGACATCTTACAAGATGAGCTACACTCTAGTAACATTCACAGTATCTGTAACTTTTATATCCTTGATGACACCTGAAACAACATCAAACCAAAGAAAGGTTTGAAGCGGAAATGGCTATTTTGTTGCTAATTTACAGGAAATATCTAGAAGAAAGTTCTACAGAAAGTAGCTAAGGGTACTCAGAAATGTAGCTAGGTTCATCACTAGGCGTTAGGAACAGCGACAAAGTCGCTGAGTTGGCACTGCCTCTCTCTCTCTGCTGCTAAAGCTACTGATAGCAAATGCTACGGGCTATGCCTGAGCGTGAACGCGCATGAAGCAGCCTGCTCGACCCGAGCAACTCTCTTTTTCTGTGATTTTACAGAAAAACAGGCAATCACAGTAAAAATGCCAGGGCTCATTCTACAGGACCAGGGCATTGCAGGAGAATGTATGAAGAAGAAATGTATTATTTCTATACATGTTTTGGCTGTCAAACTTCCATGATGCCCCTTTAAAATATATTTTTAATCATTTTCTAAATTTTTTAAAACATTTCACATTATTTGGTTTTGTGAAATGCCTCGTGATTTTTATCTTGAGAGGCGCTATAGAAAATATCTTCTTCTTCTCCCCCTGAGCTGATCAGTGGACTCAGTGGTCTCCTTTAAGAAGCAGCTGAAAGCTCACCTGTTCATGCTGACTTTAGTGTGACCTCATGATGATCCATTGCTGTCCATTAGCTTCTTCCCCTGCTGTTGTTTCTATCATTTTAGTGTAATTCTGTCATTCTTGTTGTTGCAATTGTTTAATTGAAACTACTGATATGAAAAAACTTTACTTACTTATTTCCTGCAAAAAGTGGCTGAACGCTGAAAGCAATATGGAATCGCTAATTATCTAACTAGAATCACACTTTCTTTAGTAAGAAGTACACAGAATTTGGGACCAACGGTTATCGTGAGTTATGCATTGATTCGCTAAAGACCAATCAGCTCTTAAAATCCCCGCCCTCCCAAATTTCCTCCCAGCTTGCTGCTGATGTCAGCTTGTTGAGCGACAGAACCATAATGGAGCCTCAAACATCAGCAGTGAGTGAGGAGAGCATTTTGGGATTGTGTATGGTTTACAAATGACACACCTTCTAACAAATGCATATCTCCGTTCACAAAAGAGCCCGCCTAGGTTCAAATCAAGAGTAAAACCACAAAATAGACACAAGATGGATGAAGATCAGATGGAAGAGATAGCAGCAGAGTTGTTTGAACTGTAATATTGTCATTATTGTAAAAGAAACAGCACTGCATTTATGGGGCAGAGCATGTTTTAGCGGTTGCCCAGATCAGTATCCTGATCATTTGGAGGATAAAGTACATTTATACAGACATACTGTATGTGGACCGTGGTGGAACTAATGTTTTATTCAAAAGTGAGCCTAACCTGCATTCCTGACTGTCACATGGTTTGTCAAGGAAACACTAGCCAATCATAATCAAACATTGGCCACAGAATCAGTCTACATTAGCTGCATGAATACAGTTTCCACTGACATAACCCTTGCAAATGTCCTTTGCAAATTTCATCACCACGCCTGGTGTGTGTCAGATTTAACGAACCTCTCAAACTGCTCTCTTGAGCCTGAGACAAAACTAGCCACAAGATGGAGGAAACTTTTGAAAAAGCCTCAGCAAACGCCTGCTGCCCACCTGTCGCTGTGAGGAGAGTCTCCCAGCGAGTCGAACGAGTCCCCGTATTGTAGCCCCGGCCGATGGGGATCAGAGTAAGCACAGTGTGCAGCTCGCCGTGCCCGCGCCTCCATGCACACAGGACTGCTGCATTTACTGGTCCCCACGGATGATGACATCATTCCCGGCGAGTCGGAAAGGAAACTTTCTGAATGTTGTAGGCTCCATGTTTGCTCCTCGTGCCTGACAAATAAAAGAGGTGTTAACATGCACACACTCTGCCATTTCCCATTGATTTTATACATATGTGTGTACTTTCTTTTCAGAAATTAAAAGAGCTAATGTATATACATATATATATATATATATATATATATATATATATATATATATATAGAGAGAGAGAGAGAGAGAGAGAGAGAGAGAGAGAGAGAGAGAGAGAGAGAGAGGGAGAGATACACATATAATTTTTAAAATGAAGCCCTCTGTTCTCTGATTGTTCTCCTCTGGGGTTTCATCTCCATCATGTGAAGACACACCTACCGAAAAACAGTCGAACACATTATTCCATCTTGATTTGCATAATGCAATCGGTAGGTGCAATAAAAAACCTTTCTCAAAACGCTTTTTCAATCTCAATTTCACAAGTTTTCAAGATAAAAGGTTCCCTCAGCAAAATTGGGAAATCTGGACAAATTTCAGTCCGATTTTAGGACTCAGCAAAAAAGTTCTTCTAAGTCAGAGTTGATCTTAAGCAAGGCCTGATATCCCAACACTCCAGTGGGGTATTCGAGAGGTATTGTGTCCCTGCTGCTTTTTCATCAAAATTAATTTAGTTCTGTCCACAAGCTCAGTCGCACTCTTCCCCCCTCTTTGGGCCCTTCTTTCTGGACCTCCTGAAAAACATCTTCCACCTTTTATGAATAATTCAAAACCTAAATTCATTTATCAGTTTAATCAGAATTGATTACAATTCCCAATAAAATGCAGATCTTTTTTCTGTGGAAATGAATCTTGATGTGATGCACAGCAGAAAGAGCTCTACCTAAAGGATTCCGTCCACTTGGTATCTAATGTTGCACCAGTCAAGGGCACTCATGTCCTTCATTGTGAAACAGGACGGTCATCTTTTTATCTTCTTTATATTTGCAACAACAAATGCTGGCACTGGTGAGATTTCAATCGCAACCATCCAAATAACCAGCAAACTGCTGCAGTGGACTCTGCTGCGCCCAACGAAGACCTTGCTGCTACGAACTAAGCAGGCAGGTGGCAGGAAAAAAAACAGATTCCAAGAAATTATGCAACAAAAACGAAGATACTGTGCGACAGATATTCTGGGAATGGACAAGATGATTAAGTAAATAGAAGCAGGTAAGTAGATGAGAAATAGTAAACAGAGCAGAAACGGTCAGCTGGAGCAAGTCAAGGGAAAAGGGAGGACAAATTCCTCCACAAGGAAAAGGAAATGGCAACATGGGATTATGGAACAAAACCAAACCGAAGGAAAAAAGGAAAAGGTTCACCAAAGATAAAAGAAAAACTTAGAAGATACACCAAAATAGAGCAGGAGCCTATCAGCCGATGGGGAACATGAACTCTCACCTCTGAGTTGATGAATGGGCTCGTGTAGAAGAGTTGTGAGATCTGGAGGAGGCTTGACTGGCAGGAAACGAGCGTTCTGTTGCCGGCCGTATGATTCGCTCGGTTGCAGGAACATTCTTTGATATGTACTGTAAAGGCGGAGTGATGAAACAGAAACTGTGAAAAACTCTAGTTGTTGTTAGGAACTCTCAAAATAAATATAAAGAAAACGTACATCTACCATTGGGATTTCCTCCGGGCCGGGTCCTGGGTGATTGGGTCCGTTTGCAAGGTTCCGATTAGGATGCTCCGGACACATGTTTTGCCGCATATGATTGTGCATCTGCCGTCTTTGTTTCCTGTTGAGGAACCGTTGCTTATTCTTTTCTGCAGTATTTTCCCACAATTTTCAAACTAAACTTAGCCCTTTGATGCATGAATTATGAAATCTTCAACCATGATTTTTTTAACAATTTTTTTCATTCGTCTTTAGGTGTGAATGAAACAAATTTCAACAAATATTTTTTGTAAAATTTTATAATTTACAAATAATTTATTACATGTCCACTTCAGTGGACAGCGTGCATTCTGAGCATGAAATATGTTGGCTTGGCTTACTGAAGTCCAATTGGAGGGGCTCACATGCAATAAAGTCTTCAACAGCTGTGCTTAATAGCGAAAACAGATAAATAACAATTTTGAGTACCTGTCCACTGTAGTGACCATTATGCATCAAAGGGTTAGTTCATACAGAACAGCCACTGCTTCTTACAGTCAGATCATGAGAAGCTTCATTATTCCATCTGTTTCTGTTCAGATTCAGGGGTTAAATGGTTATCTGTGTGAACTTACTTGGTTTTACAGTAGGCAACCACACAGAGAATGCCCAACACCAACAGAGCCACGCAAATACCCGTAATTGTCAGGACTCTTTTCTGGTAGAGTTCCTCTGCCTCTGTGACATTACACCCACAAACACAAAAAAAGACACGACAGGAAACAATTAGCACCTCACAATTCTTCGTTTTATCGTTGCTTTTCTTGTCTTTAAGTCGTTTCTCTAAACCCTGAGCAGTACGAATTGCTATCCTCTTCTCCCTCACAAGTCTATGCATTATCAGAACTGTCACGTCATCACAAAAGCAGCAGAGCTGCTGTGCTGCAGAGATGCTTAGCTAAAGCTAACCAATCTATAAGCAGCAGTAAACGTCTAAAACTCTAAGTGATTTAAAAAAATATTTACATGGGATAGGTTAATGTTCCAGGTCTATGATTAATGACTACTGGAAACTGGGAATCCACGTGGGATTGATAAAACCTGTGATATGTAGAGTTCAATAATCCAGATCTCTACTCAAGCGTCCAGAAGGAAAAAAAATCTGCAGATATCATCTCCACAACAGCTCATGAAACAAGAGAATTTTAAAAAGAAACATTTTCATGAAATCTAATATAATATGATTTGTTCTTTTACTTTTTCCAGAAAAGAGCTTGTGCCCCCCCCCCCCCCCCCCCCGCCGCCCCCCAAATAGGACGCTGATGACTAACATAAAAAAGTGAATTGAATTACACATCTTCCATCTGAGGTTTCCTCCCCTCATTCACCAGCAGCCATTTTACAACAACGTACCAATTTGTGAAGTTCCTGACGACATGAATAAATCACAGGAGTTGGTTTATCTACAACGGTGGACTTGGTAATGTTTCTTACTGCATGTCGTTGACTGATAATGGCTTTAAACAGAGGAAATGGTGGAACTGCAATAACACAGTGTTCCCATGGTTCGGTGCGTGAATGCACACGTATAATTGCACGATGTCTGCAAAGATGCCTCTAGCATTTATTCTACACTTTCAAACACTGAAGCTCTTTTCTGGAAAAAAAGTAGCAGAAGCCCATATTAAATGAAGTTAGAAGCAGACAGAGTTGCATGCTTCACACATGATCATTTAAATCAATCAAATTCAAACATCAACGTTACATTTCTGGTATGCTAAGAATGGGGTGAAAAAGTGGAAAAGATCACATTTAAATCAAGAGAAAGGAGACAGCAAATCAAGAAAGAGGTAAAAGGAAGAGACCAGTGACCAGGTCTGCAGGGGAATGCATGGGACACCGTGCTTGTTACGGATTAAAGGAGAAGTTCTAAAAGGATCACTTTGGCTATCGTGAGTAAGGTGGAAACTTAGTACGCTTCAAATCACACGTAGAGGGGTGGAGGCAGTGGCATCCATGTTAATGGTGTTGATTGGGTTGGGGGTTCAGTTGCACTGACGTCTAATAAGTTATGGTCTGATCAATTCAGAGGCTGAATGGTTAATCAACGGTCGGTTTATGATTTACAGATCACACCGCAGATGGAACAGGAGCATGGCAACACGAAGGCTAGGACTGAGAATCAAAATGGATTGTTTCATACCCATAAATTCAATCCCAAGATGCTCTGCCATGGCAGAGGGTTGAGAGGTGGAAGAGAAAAACAACAGCAAAAAAAGAGAGAAAGAAACAGAATAACAGATTAGGATAGTGGCACCTTGTAGCATATGGTGGAGTCAAAACAAATCACACCAACAACACTAGTTAGTGTATGTAGGACGAGACACCAGCATGCAACACACACTCACAAATCTAGCAAGCAGGACAACACTCTGATTCATTGTGTTTAACTCTGAAAATGTATGATTTTTTTTTGTTTTTGTTTTGTTTTCATGACATCATAAAGGCTTATGTGGTGAGAGCGGCACACTGGGTGCATGGTAACCTTGGTGACCACTGCGTGGGGATATGTCTCATTTTAGGAGATTACCTGTGTCTTTCAGTTTTATGCTTGGTTAAAAAAAAGAAGAAAACCTGCTACACTGTCAGTTCTTGGACACACCCATCACATGAACAGGCAAGTTAAAAAGCTGGTATTAGAAGGTGGGTTATTCCAGCACAGCTGCACTGCATCGGAGCAATCTGGCTGAATATTGAGAGTGGTAGTTGGTCTCTATTTTCTCCAGCAGAGTGAGGAAGTGGAGATGTTGCAGCAACAAGCTGAGTCCATAATTTTAGTGCTTTACTTTTGTGTTAGGCGAGTCCCAGCTGTTCTTATGACAACACGGTTTTATTAATCCCAGCCCTTATGGCCAGGCAGAGGAAGCCATCCTCCTTCGTGTCTCAGGAGGATGGGCGGCGTACGTCCAGGAGGCGGCTCTTTAGGAATGCAATGGAGCTGCGTGTGTGTGTGCAAGGGCTTGCTCTTCAAAACAAACAGGGATTTGTTTACATTGATTTAGTGTAGCGTGTGCTAAAAGTTCATGGAAAATATTCTTTGTGAGTTATGCATGCCTGCAGGTATGAATGTATCACGTTGCATTCGGGCTTCAAACCAACTCGTCACGGTTTCTTTTGTCGTTTAACTTATCTGCTATCGGAGTGAACGCTAATGCAACAGCTAGGTAACCAAGGACTGGTTCATGAGCCTGAATGGTAAAAGGAAACAAATGCTGTCCTCGGTGCAGATGCACAGCTGCACTAAAGCGAAACAGAATGCAGAAGAAGTGGGTGAGTGTAGGAGGAACAACACTCCCACATACTACTGTCTGCTCTGCCAAAAAGACAAGTCGTTTCAGCCCAGAGCATCACGACTGAATGAGAGACAAAATTACTTGTAGTTAAGAAGAGGGTTGGGGGGCTGCAATTTAGTCTGTGCAAACATACAACTAATAGTTTATGTGCAGTCAGGCTGCAGAGAGGTTGTGGTCAGCACAAGAAGACTCCAGCAGCAGATGCAGTTTGTTATCTGCTAAATATTACTTTGACTTGCAACCATGTGAGCTCCTATATGCTAAAACATATGCACCAAACCAGACCAGTGATTTATAGGCATTGATTATGATTCTATATCATTTCTAAACATAAAACCTTTTTTACATTAATATGACACATACAACATTAAAGGTGGGATATGTTGTGGTTTCCACTAGAGCTGGGCTATCTAGAGTCACAGACGGAGTGTCCTGTTCTGTTTGCAAACCTATCGAACATGCATCCTTCCTTTAAGAATTTAGATGAGTAATAAAGTAGGTTCATTAGGGCTGTGAAAAATGTATTTGGTGAATCATGAGCAATATTAGCTAGTCAGTCCTGTAGGATTAAAAGCTGCACAAGAAGGCAATGCGTGAAGCTGGTAGGGTAGGACTGCAACAGAAATACTCTCCTGTGAGGCAGAAATGTTCATGGGCAGGATTACTCAACCTGTGGGCTTCAGGAAATATTTCTGGGATAAATTAGCATTTGGTAAGAGTTTGTGGCAGTAGGGTTAGGAGGGTGGACTTCTCTCCTCCTAGGCTAGTGGAGGGGTTTATTACAACGCTCCAGTGTTACTTCACTACTGAACACAAAAGTAAGAGCCTCATTTGGTTTCTTTTCTCTGAAGAAATGAGTGTTTGAAACACCAAATATTCTCAGAATGTTCCAGAGGCACCATGAGACGAGTTTATTCATGGAGTTGTTGTACTTGAGGTCCCTGGCAAGTTTTCATCTGGTCTGAAAGTGACGCAGGTTATGCTCTTCGTGTCATATCTTTAGTGATGCAGCTCTGTTCTTGCACATACATGCAGGTACAAGTTCACCAAAAAACAGAGCAGATACTCAGAGGTAAATTTGTCAGGATCATTCATGTTTAACATAAACTTTCAATTGGTCTTCTTCCGGCTCTTGGAGAGTACAGACACCTTTTTCCTCCTCTCCTCTTATCTTATCCCAAGGCTCTTTGTCGGTCTTTGGGTGTACGGCACTTCTACATTTTCTCTGGAAACTGGAAATTATTAAAAATGGACCTGGTCAGCTGGTCTCCCAATGCCATTGACAAAATTTTCTCAGCGATGAGAACGGGAGAAGGGGCTCCCAGGTGCCCCTCTGAGACAGATCCAGTTGGGCATATCATGGACTCCTGGAAACAGTGAACCCTGATCTGCTTATCTCAACTGTCTGTAGAGGATTCTGAAGACGTCTGGATATTTGTGGTGATGGCCTGGGAGGTTACCTGGCTTACCGGAAAATTAACGAGCTGTCGAGGAATATTGGCTCAATCCCGGAGCTCAGAGATGGATTACACCTCGCTGTGAATGCACAGACTCATATAATTGTCGAGATGAGTCGTAAGCTTGGAACTTTGGCTGAGATTCATGCGTTGGCACAAAAGATGGATGCGATCAAGGAGCGAGTAGACGAATCAGCACAAATTGGGATAGATTAATTTACGCCATTATTGGATTTTGAGAGGTTGAGGACCAACGGAACTTTAAGACAGAGAAGAAAGTATCTCTGTCTGGCCCCAAAACAATGTTTTATCTGAATCTGGTGCCCTTGAGCCTGTGAGGCTGAAACAAATACTCCCCCTCAGAAGAAATGTGGAACGCTGCCGTCACCATGGCAACTCTGTCTCCCTATCTCAGCCTGGGTGGGACTGCAAGCTGTGAAGGCCGCTGAATCGTTCCAGGAGTAACTGTGCCTTCTAAACCCAACGACCTCCTCCCCCTATCCAGACTGAGGTGACGAGCGCTGCTTATCGTGGCTGCATGCACTGACGTGTGGAGAGTCCCAAACCTTACCTCCCCACCTAGTGGACACTTATGTTGTGTGATGTCTGAAGTCTGTTGCATTTCTGTCTGAGGTGTTTTTTGCATAGCGAAGCTGCCCTCCCTGTGGAGGGTAACTCTGAAGTGCCTTTTTTCCCCCTCCACCTGACTCAGTCCTCATGTAAACCCCTCTGATCTCTATTAAGGTAGCGCGACTCGGGTTGCGAATGACCACAGTCGCCAATTCTTGTCATGTGTCTATGTATGTATGTCTGATCTCAGAATTGTGTGTACTGAAACTGTAATTTTCCTGTGGGATTAATAAAGTATCTTTGAATTTGAAACTGATGATACTGATGATAAAACAGCGTGTTTTCTGTGCTACCTATCAAATACATCATTTGACCTTTTAGTCATTGCTAACTGCTCAGACTTGACTTTCCATCCAGAGATCAGTTCTAATAATATTTTACATGCCTGCATGCCTCCGACTGACTGCATAAAGCGGCATTGCCAGTGGTTAGATGGTGTTGTTGCGTGCAACTTATGTGTAAGTCAGCTTCCACAAAGCATCTAAATTGCAGCGCTACCACAAGCTCTTCTTCTGAAAATGCACATGCATGCCACTGTTATAGTTACAGAAAGAGCACACAACAGCACATGAAGACAAAACACACAAACAGACTCTACAAATCTACACCAGCTTGTGAATGAGTCACCAGAGATGCAGATACAACTGTTAGGTAACAACAGGAAGCAAACTCTATGCGCAGCATGCACACATGGAACGAGAACAGTCTGATGAATTGACAGAGGAGGAAGTTGACATACGGTAGAAACCGGCCATAACGTAGGTTTGACAGCGATCACCAGTAAATGCATTTGGACACCTGATGGAAAGAAACAAAGCCACAGAAACAGATAGAGGAAGAAGAGGAGGAGGAGGGTGGATGTGTGTGGAAGAGATGAGTGTAAAGAGGAGGATGTGTGAGAAAAAGTGAAAGATGAGGTAAAGTGGGAGAGAGAGAGAGAGAGAGAGAGAGAGAGAGAGAGAGAGAGAGAGAGAGAGAGAGAGAGAGAGAGAGAGAGAGGGAGAGGGAGAGAGAGAGACAGAATTAGAACAACAGCACAACTATGGACAGCAAAAGCAGAGTGTTCCCACGGGTGACACCACCGTGTGGTGAGGTGAGGTGTGCAGCTCATTGGACCTGAGAAAGAGAGAAAACAGGAGGAGAAGGAGCAAGAGAACTGGAGAGGGGGGAGGGGGGTCCACTGAGGTAATCCAGTGACAACTGCGTCTCTGTTCTCAGCTGCTCATATCAGGTGAACATACTTTTAGACGGATTGGGCATGTACAACCGCAGCGGCTCAGTCAGTAAGCATCTTGGGCCGGAGTATCCGTCCTTACATCTGGGGAGGAGCAGACACGTGTTATGAAAAGGAAAACACAGGATATCAGGTGGACTGTAAACGTTATGGTCACAAAACACCTCGTGCAGGTCAAAGTGGAAGTTTACAAACAATCAAATGGTGCCTAAGCATTTAGAGAAGATTACCGTAGTGTATGTATTCATGTGTCCATAAAAGGTGACTTGTTATTTGAAGAGTTTGGACACAGCTCCAAGTCTCAGAGTCACATGATGGGACTGAGACTATGTTTTTGAAGGTAAAACATGGCAGTTGCTTTAAATGTCCCGAAAATACCCAAAACGTTCTGATGCTAAGAAAAAGATATTTAATTTTCTTTTTCCCAAGCCGTTGGGATCCTGGTCAAGGTGTTCAAAAGCTGGAAATGAAACAGTTTCATGAAAGCTAAGAAGGTTTTGGTCTCTAACATGTGGCTTTGTGTTTTTGTAGCAGAAGACAGACCATGACCACCATCAAGGGTGCTGGGCAGGGCCATGCTTCCTCATTATAATCCCATTAGGGATGAGCTGGAGGTCTTTCATGGCCACCAACATTCCACTCACAGCTACAGCTGGACCACCAATCCGACAAAGGTCACTGCTTGTGATTTACTGGTTTCACACAGCGCCTCCCAGGAGCACCATAACATCCAGCGTTAAATTACTCATCCTGACTGATGGGGTGGGACTGCAGCGCAGCACCACCTATGCTCAGAGGAAACTTGGCCGAAAGATGAAAGACGTAAACTTTCACTGCATGATTAAAAAATCAGAAGAGAGCAAGAGGGTCTGTGATGGCACAGAAAATAAACATGAGACATTTAGAGAAGGTGGGAATGTTTTAGCATGTGTGAGGATCTGGTTTCTACTGGGGCGCAGTCCCAGAGAGAAGCTTCTTCACCTTTACGTTTAAGGTTTTTTCATTCCAAACAGAAACACATCAGCAACCTTTAAATGTACAGCTAGGAGCCGTCTGAGATTGACAAAGTTTTTAAATGTCATCAACAATGACTCTGCTCAGCTGTTAGCTTGTCGCTCCAGTTAAATAATCTATTTCTCCAAGCTGCAGCGAGTCAAGCCCTTTTTACAAAACAATACCGTCAATTTGCTGCAACGCCGTGGCAGCATCAGGGAGCCTTAGGTCGTTTAAGTGATCAGACCGTGGTGGTAATGTGGCGCAATTCTGTCCTTAATACAAAAGATTAGGTGATGGCGGCATAAAGGGGGTATGGGGCAGGTCCTGCACCGCCGCGGACTTCTGTTCATCTTGGACATAACTTGTTTGTAATTGCGATTTAACCCATGATAGTTATGTTTTTTAAAAAGCCGCTCCTAAAAGTGTCTGTCCCCATCAGTCCCCACGCAGTCTCTGGTGATCTGACCTCCAGCTCCAATGGAGAGAAGCCCAGGAGCGCTGCAGCACTCCAGTTTGCCGTCTCATTCTATTTTGTTCAAAAGCAAAACTTACGGCCCGTGTTTATTTTCATTTAAATTTTCTTGCTGAGCTCAGTAGTAATTCTCCGCGTCGTCACGGCACCTCCCTCAGTTGCACCGAGGCGCAATCGCCATTTATATGCCAGACAATCAACGCAATATTACTACCAAGCGATGCAGAATGAATGCCGCAAAATTTGCGTAATGCCATGCCGCCATTGCGTGTTTACAAGGCACACAGTTGCGGTAATATTACGCTGAGCTCCCGGCACGGTGTGTCTTGTAAAGAGGGCTTCAGAGAGCTGCCTGCAACAGGTAAGACAATAATTGTTCGGCCCAAAGTCATCATCACACGTTGGTGAAATTGACCCATCCCCATGGGGAGCGGTGAGCTGCAGCTGTAGCTGTGCTCAGGAGCTATTTGGCAGTTTTATCCCCCAATCCAACCTCTTAAAGCTAAGTGTCAACCAGAGAAGCATTACAGTATTTGATATGACCCAGCCGGGATTTGAACCCAGATCTCCCAGTCAGAGAATAGACACTCATACCACTAAGAAGGTAGCATTCTCTTAACCATATTGCTATGGCTAAGAGCATTTTGGTCCTAGCTTACCTACATAAGATCAAGTTTTATACCTTGATGTGAAGAAAGACTGTGTCTGCAACACAAGTGATGCTCACAGAAGCCTGACCCATGTTGAATAAGGTGGCCATGGGACAACAAAGGGCTGCATGATCCAGCTTCTCTGCATCCAGGCCCTAGCTGTGAGTGGATTAGCTGTAGCTCGCACATCCTACAGCCCGTACAGGATTCTACTCACACACGTGCTATGGCTAACTTGGCAGAGGGTTAGGGTTACACCTCCACATAGAACCAGGATCAAAGTCTTTGGTGGATCTTTTCTTCTAAAGTTAAAATGTCACTAAAAGACAGGATTAAAACCCAAAAACACACACTGGTTTTCACCACTTGAACATCGTCGCCACTAACCTCCCAACTTTGTCTAATCCAAACTCAAAAGTTATTTTCAAGGAAGAACTGAGAAGAAAAAAGGGACCATTTCTGAGAAACATCCACCTGTTTTCCACCTAAAAACCAAAGATGCATGATTAATCATGCACACTTGATCCTCTCTGCCAAATGTAAGCAATGATTGTATTTACCTCATTGGGGGCCTCTAGCAGGCATAAATATTTGCTCACTACTAAACCAGTGACTCATGACATTTTAAAAAGGGCTTTTAAAGTGTGGTCCTCCTGTACACTAAACATGACTTAAAAGAATGAGCACACTCCATTATTAGTGTTAAAATACACAACAGGTGGCTCGTTAGAGAACCTGGCAGGCATCCCATGTGATGTGTTTCTGCTGCTGGAGAAAGAAGCAGGGGTATTACAAATCATGCAGTTTGACATTTTCTTTAGTTTTTCGGTGGAATGCTAATGGTAGGTATGGAAGGCATCGTAAAGAAGAACTCTTCTCTTAAAGATCAGATGCAGAACACCAAAATCTGATTTACTAGGAGAATCCACATGCACGAGATAACTCACTTGCAGGAAAGCTGATTTATACCGTGGATGAAATAACAGTCACCGCCATTCACACAGAAGGCCTTCTCTGTGTCGTTGCATTTTCTGGCATGGCCTGAGCCTGGAGAAAGTGTTGTGGTTACTAGAAAAATACAAGAAGAAGACAAAAAGTACATGTTAAAAAACTTTGATCACAATTTGTTTCTTTTAAGAAATAGTCAACAATATTTGAAGTGTACCTCTGTAAAAGATATACTTCTAGTAGATAACTGACATCGGTTTAAGTAACCAGAGTAAAGTTTTGACAGGATTGATGAGCTAACTGCTAGTCTGAGTGGGAGGAGTTTCAATGTCAGTCTCAAAATGTTCATAGGCATTCATGAATCTCTTAATGAACCTTTGCACCACCATACATGATCATCTGGAGTTAGCTACTATTGCATTCTGGGTAGAATGTCACAAGTATTCTGCTGAAATAACAACAAACAAACAAACAAACAAAAATGGCAATGCAAGGTTACAAAATAGCATTTTCTAAACATTGAGTGAGATTTGTGAGATTAGAATTACAGCAGCAGTGCGCTTTGCAACTGGTCCCATTCTGACTCGCTTGCAGAGCACATTTCTGTTTCTTCAAATTGAGGTTGTTCAAAGAGTTATCTACAGCAACAAAAGATTACAGCAAAATCATCATGCCCCATGCCACTGATTACAGTAAAGACACCACATATAATCTTATAAGATATTCCTGCCATGTGTGGTGTGTCAAGAGCGCTCTGGTCCACTCAGAAGCATGTTGGGACTGCTTTGATTCGGGGATATGCATTATGTTGGAATGTCTTAACCCTGTATCGCAGTGTGTGTAATGCACATGGAGGAAAAAACAAGTGTGTTGAATATGACATTTAGCCAATCAGAGACAAAGTGACGGAAGCATGCTGCCTCCTCCGCCATGTTTGTTTACAACAAAGACACATTTAAATAGTTTCTTGAGATTTCCCGTTTGAGGTGTGAAATCTGTGTGTTCGTTTGGTGTATTGTAGCCGCACTGTAGGACCAGAACTGTTATTTCCATGACTTTTGTTGACAAATGTATGTTCTCTTATGTTTTGAAACTCCTCTGACAATTTTAGAATCTTGTGTGAAGCAGGCTTTAGTTGTCTAACGGACTTCTACAAAAACCGTTTTAGAAAGATTGAAATAATTGTTTTGACTTAATAAAAATAAAAAATAAAAATAGCTTCAACTTAGAGAAAAATGCCAAAAAGTTTAAAGTTAAAATAAAGAAAATTTTGACAAGTGGCCATACTTGGGGGGAACCTTTGAACACTTCAGTACTCACTTGAGGTATTTTGTGATTTACTCGTACTTTACACTTTTATCTCCAAAAAGACTCTTCGTTTTCCATCCTCAAACGTAATTGTGTCTCTGAGCAGTGTTGACACTAACTCGAGAGGTTTGATGAGCAAACATAAATATTTTTCTTAAATTACGTAGGAGTTGTTTATGCACTGACTCAGTTCATCAGAATGACCTAAAATGTCATGCATCCGAACTTACCCCCCCCCCACCCCCCACCCCGAGCAAAAAAATGCATCATGTATGAAGGCTGCTTATCAAAATGCGGGGACAGGTAGGGATGATGGCAGGATTAGGCTTGAGGTGGAAGGTGTGTGCTTCACGTGTCAGATGTGATTGTGATCATGTTAGATTGTTGTTGACATAAATGCTTTAAACTGGGAAAACTTTTTACATCTACATCACATTTGCAGTGTAAAAATCAAGTCATACAAAGAGCTGTGATGAGAAACTCCCAAAGGAATTTGCTAGACCTGGTATATGTGCTGATATATAGAGCTGTTTACCTCTGAAGAAGGATTTCACAACACCTTCTACTGCCACTCTTTTTTTTATCTCAGTAACAACTCTTCGTGTTACTGAAGTGCTGCTTTTTGATCAGAAGCTATCTTATCTGGCTGAAACTTCAGCTAGCTGGCTGTTAGTAACAACTAGTAGCTACCTCCTCTGCTAGTTAGCACAACACGGCAAAACTATCTTGCTAGTCGTTCTGTTTTTGTACACAATAAGAGTTACAGAGTTACGGTAGAGCAGCATGAGGAAATAAAATAAAGGAGCAATATCTCAGCGCTCTGATGGCAATACAGTACAAATGACAAATATTAGAATCTGTCTTACTGAACTTACAACTAGCTAGTTATTGGCTAAACAACAAGCATCACGTGCCGAAATAGCTAAATTAAAAAGCTTCTTCCAAATTTTTGATTTCAAGTATGATTTTTATTTAAATTCACTTTACTGAACATAAAATTGTCACCAAACATCAAATTAAAATAGATTTATTTCCAAGAAGTCAAGTCAGTTTTATTTCTAAAGCTAAAAAAAGGTTCTGTACAAAACTATTAAACAGAGGAAGTAAACAAATCATAAAGGAGTGGCGATAAACAACAATAATAAAACAATGGCAGTACAACATGTCACAGCTCCAAAGGAAGAAAGACAAAGATCCAGTTTAAAACTCGTGGTGTCAGTTCAGACTTGAGCTTCACTGGTCACATTAAAGCTATAACCAGATCATCTTCATCAAATAGCAAGACTCGGAAGTCTCATGTCCAGACATGACCTATTGTGATGTGTCGGTCGTGAACGAACCATCTCTAAGAGCCGGCTCTTTGAAGTGAACGACGAGAGCCGGCTCGTCATTGGGAGCTGTCCCCTCCCCTCTTGCTTTGGTGAAAGCTACAGGCGATTGGTCAGCATGTGTAACTGCATGTCCAGACTGTCTACACACAGAGCAGTAGGGGCGGGGAAGAGGGAGGATCAGACTCAGACACACACACACAGCAGAGCACATGTGGGCGGAGGGAGACGAGAGGGAATGAGGAGGAGGAAAAAGGCGAGCGAGAGAGAGGAAAGTGGCAAAGACGGTGAGAAAATGCACGCCAGCAGTTGGAAAGTGGAGATTTCTTAAAGTGTTCAGTTATTAAATCCATAGAAATGATAAATATTTGATATATTGCATTTTTTTACATTAGTAAATCGTTTTACATATAGTTTTGCATTATTTTGGTTATAAATGTACTCTACGCAACAGAAAATCTGAGGAGCCACTTGGGAGCCGAAAGAGCTGGCTCTTTTTGGTGAGCTGAGCCAAAAGAACCGGCTCTCTAAAAAGAGCCGGAATTCCCATCACTATTGACCTACAGAAACTCATTCATGCATTCATCTCCAGCAGGTTGTACTGTTGCAATGGTCTTATGTCATGTCTTCCCAAAAAGCTGCGAAGAAACGGCATCTTATTCAGAATGCTGCAGCTATAGTCTTAACAAGAACCAAGAGAACCGAGCATATCACTCCTGTTGTTAAATATCTACACTGGTCACCAGTAAACTACAGAATGCATTTCAAAGTGCTACTACTAGTTTAGAAATCACTCATTGGCACAGAGCCAGAATACATGTCGGATGTCTTTTCATGTCCTGTGTCCCTTGTCTACCCTGTTCATTCCCGTTTTCTCCCTCCTCTCAGGTGTCCTTGTACTCCCTGTCAATACCTGCTTATGGTTTAGTTAATTTCACCAGCTTTCTAGTGCAGTTGTAGTTATGTTTTCAATTAAGTGTGTTCTGTTCCCTTAGTCCAGTTCTGTTTTTACTTAGTCGTTTATTGGTGTGTTCTTTCAGCATTTACTTCTAGTGTCTTATTGTTTTATCTGTAAGTACATTTGACTTATATAGCACTTATCACAGACATAGAATCGCAAAGTGCTTCACATAGATCAAAACAAAATAAAACATAAAGTCATAAAATCCTAATGATCTCCAAACAGAAATAAATCTGGTTCTGAACAGCCCTTGTGTTTTCGTATTGCCTCCATTTCCCAAAATTATGTTCTCTTGTCTTTGTGTTTTCCCCCAGTGTCCTGTCAACCAATCACACCTGCAACATTTCAGTAATCGTCGCACCTGTTTCCTTCGTTATCGGTTTTTTGTGTGTGTTTTCATCCTAGTGTTTTTAAATTTTCCTGCTCCTGCTCCACAGCCTTTAAATAAACTTTGGGATTTTTTGAAACTACCTGGCTGCTTCCTGGATTTCCTGTGTTTTGGGTCCGATTCAACCTACGACTTTATGACATATCTTTCCGTTATATACGCCCAGCAGGGCTCTGAGATCCTTAGGAAGCAGTCAGCTGGTAGAACTCTGGGTCATAACCAAACAGGGTGAAGCTGTTTTTATGATGCACGCAACTGGAATCAGCTTCCTTATGACCTCAAATGTGCCCCCACTCTAGTAACTTTTAAATCAAAACTGATGTAATGTGATGTACCGTATTTTCCGGACTATAAGCTGCTACTTTTTTCCCACACTTTGAACCATGCGGCTTATAATGAGATGCGGCTTTACTGAAGATTTTCCTTCACCTGCCCGGGGGCGCTTTAGCAGAAAGTGAAGCAGGTGGAAGTCAAAAGTGGAAATCGAAGAAAGTGCTCATTTTAATTTAGTACATGCAAGCAGCCGGCACGACGAAGAATTCTTTTCAAATCCATACCCCCTCATCATGGTAACTACACGTATGAGTTCATATGTTGCCGCATTTAAGTTGAAGGCCATCGATCTGGCAGTAAAGGAGGGAAACAGTGCTGCCACACGTAAGCTTGGCATGAATGAATCCATGGTTCAGCGCTGGAGATGGCAGCGGGAAGAACTCATTCAAGCCAGCTTCACACGGGGATGATGACAGCAACATGGACAGCGACACTGACATCGCCACAGAAAAGGTATGTGACGAAGCTCTTCTGAGGCTGTTCAACTCCGACACTGAAGAGAGGACTTTAATGGCTTTAGTGCGCAAGAGGAAGATGAGAACAAATGACTTTTTCTGGTAGGCAAGTGTGTTTTATTTACTAACCAGGCATGTTTGGTGTGCAGTTTCTATTATCTAATCATCCAGGGCTTATTAATGCTGTGTCAGCGCTGTTCTTTTCTTCTAAACATGCAAATTACCGGTAATAACGTGCCAGTTCTGTTTTTATTTTATAACCATCCAGAAATATGAATGCTATCAGTGCTGTTTTCTTTTCTGAACTTGCAGGCAAGTTCACCCGCATTTAAAATTATTTTGTTCAA